TCCTGTCTTTGCACCTCACCATATGTGCTCTTAACAAGGTACAAGTGTCTTGCTCTGCGAGACTCACAACTTTTTGGTGTTGGGTTTTCCCCCCTATTTCAGTTAAGTATTCAGTGAAGATAAAAGTTAAATAGGCAACTTTTTAATCATTTAAACGATCCTCATATGACAGTTGGTACTAGGCAGGTACTGCCCAGAGTCCCATCTCTTCCCGAGATGTGCTGTGTGTTGCCCTCCCTGTAGTATTCCATCCTGCAGGAGCAGTGTTCAGATCCTGGGGAAGGAGACAGGCAGATCCAGTGCTTCCGAAATCTAGAGTATGTGGGTCACTTTCTATACCTTTGAATGCTTTGGGCAGTCTGGTGAAGCCTGGAGACCCCTTCTCAGGATATTTTAAGTGCATAAAATAAAATACGTAGGATTATAAAAGAAAATAGTTGTATTGAAATAGTTATCAAAATGATTTGTGATACAGTAATACATATGCTTTTAAATACATTAAATAATAAATCCAGCAGCAGGTCTCATAACTATCATAATTTTGAATGGTAAAGACTAGAAACAGTATTTTGAGATATTTGTAGTCACTTTAATGAGTTCTGAAAATATCTGATTTTTGTGTGTGTGACATAGTTACCAGCACTGTTCTTTCTACTATAGTTTTTTGCATATATTCATAATTGAACACTAAATGTTAGTTAGAAGTTAAGGAAAACAAAGATGTATTTGTTTTGTTCCATTCAAGTTCATGCCCCACTCCTCTGGCCTGGATTCTTTTAGAACAGGTATAGAACATTCTTTCTCAAAATTGTGTTCATCAAAATCACCTGGATGCTTGTAAAACGCAGATTCTGGTGCCCCACCCACAGAGATCCTGAGGAGAATGTCTCCTAGGCCGAAGAGTGCACATTTTAACAAATTTTTGAAGCACTGAACTAAGCCCTGGCACTGCTATGGGAAACCTCTCTGGGCCATGCAAATCTCGGAGACTTCAGAGGTTTAAATATCCTGGTGACATGAGAGTTTCTTCTTCAGGCTCTGCTGGAGCTTTCTAGCTTCCAGGGCTTTGGGACCATGACACCAACTCCTGTGGAATCTGACTAGCTGAGACCAGCCTCCTTGGCTGGACCCCCCTGTGTCTGATCAGCCAATGCCTGAGGCTGGCTGGGGGATCCTAGGTCATGCCATAGCAGCCTGCTGCCCTGTGGCACAATAGAAAGAACTGGAGACTGGGAGTGCTAGTGGTTCAGGGTTATAAAGTGAATAGCTGTTGATAATGAATCATGGAGAAATCTTACAAGGAACAAAATCCAATGATATGTTCCTTTTGAGTCACAACAAAAGGTCAAAACTAAGAGGCAATATCTTGAACAGGTGATCAAAATTAACACCGCCAATGAGGAGCAGATGGGTCTTTTGAAATACGATAAGCCAGAAAGGACAAGCCTCACTTATGTGGTATTCCAGCCAGGTTTGCATACCCTGGATCTGATCCTGGGGAAACACTAGACAAACCCAAATGAGAAATGCTTTATTTAAAAAATGAGGGCGAGTGGATGCTGCATTTTTTCAAAAATGTCATTGTCATAAAGACAAAGAGTCTGTGGAAATGCTCCAGATTAAGGGATTCTAAAGAAACATAATAATGAAGTGATCCTATACTGACAGGGGGAAATGCTTTAAACAACATTGAGTCCATTGACAAAACTAGAATACAGATGGTAAATTTTTGTATCAATGTTAAGTTTACAGAAGTTGATAAAGCTGTATTGTAGTTATGTAAGAATGTATCCCTACTTTGAAGAAATACACACTAAGTATTTAAGGACAAAGAGCTATTATTTATGCATGAGAGTCATAAATGGTTCAGAAGAATATTGAATATGTATTTGGGGGGGGGGGCAAGCAAATGACCAGTTTAGGATAAAATGTTATGTAGGTGAATCTGGTAAAAGGTAAACAGATGCTCTTTGCACAGCTCATATTCTTGCAGCTTTTATGAAAGTTTAAAATTATTTTCAAATAAAGATTGATATATATGTAGTAATAGCTAGTTTTTAAGGAAAATCCAATAAAAGCACAGTAATACTCAAACTTTAACCTACATTTTTACTCCTAATAGGTTAAAAAGGCAGAACATAAAAAAGGACACAGAAGATGATGTAATGGTTAAGATAGAAAAAGAAAACCTTTTGAAATCGGAAGTGGTTTCAGTTCTGGCTCCACTACTTATTATCTCTGCAACCTTAGGCAACATACCTAAACTCTCTAAGTCTCATGTCTTCATCTGAAAGTAGGGGGATAAAATAGAATCTGTCTCATAAAGTTGGAGGTGGTGGTTCTGGAGATAATGCATATAAAGTACTTAGCCTAATGTTTGGCATTTAGAGCACTCTCAATGAATGTCAGTATTTCCAGAGCAGTGACAAAGACAGAAAGCTTCCTAAGTCATTCTATAAGGTAACATAACCCTGAAAGCATGACAGAAATACATACAGAAAGGAAGCCTATAGATCCATCTCACAAACAAATATGATACATAAATCATTTTTTAAAGTTCAGAAATACATGAAAATAATAATATACTATGACCTAGTAGGGTACCTTCCAGAAATCTAAGAACTATCCAACATCAGAAGAGCTATTACTATATACTAATGCATTATATTACATATGATTGTTCTCCCCCATTTAACCTATTTTCTCAATAGTTGACCCCAAAAACTGCTTTTGATAAAATTCCATATTTATTCCTGAGAAAAACCTCTTTGTAAACTCAGAATTGAAGGAAACATCATCATGATAAAGAAACTGACCACAAACATGTAGTAAATTGCTAGAGGCATGTCACAATCAGAGTGTGTTCCAGTAGTCTGTCTTGTGTAGAACACAGCACGATGGAGATGGCAACAGAGCTGCCATGGAGTGACATCAGTCATTCAGGAAGACTTGTACCTAACACAGTCTCAGCCCAGGCCATGCACAATTCAAATACTTACTGTTAAAGTATTTAATTCCTTATAAGGGTTGGGAATGACAGGGTGTTCAGTAATTAGAACTGTGTTAATTGATAAACTATTTGGGGAAAGTTGATCCTTACCTCATAGCATACATCAAAATAAATGCTAGAAAAAGAGAAAAATGTAAAAATGAAACCATAGAACATCTAGAGGAATATAGAAGTAAATAGTTTCATTAATACTGGGATGGAAAAGGCTTTTTATATGATACTAAAGGTAGAAGCACATAAAGGGAAAAATATGAAAAATGTGCTTCCATAAACATTTAAGATATCTGTGTGGCCAAATACACTACAAACCAAGTTTAAAAGCAAAAATTTAATTAGAAGAAATTATTTGCAATCTATTTCAAATATTTCATAAATAAATCATTAAGAAAAAGAATATAGTGACAGAAAACTGACACAGGACATAAATAGGTAACCCACAAAGGAAGAATTATAGAATAAAAATATGAAGAACATGTTCGATCCAACTGATGCACAAAGAAACATAATTAAAAACATTGATATTACATTTTTGCAATTAAATTGCAAAGAAGAAATGTCATAGGTATAGGAAGATGGCACCCTCAGCCATCACTGGTGGAACTGTACCACCTTCCTAGATGTCAGTTTGCCATTGTGTCCCAGATCCTTGATAACGTGCATATCCTTTGACAAAGCTATTCAAATTCTAAGAATTTATTTTTAAAGAAATAATTGGACAAGTAAGTATGGGAATGTGGAATTAGAAGATTTTCATCATAACTTTATTTACAGTAACAAAACATTGGAAGCAACCTAATTGTCCAGCAGTACTAAATAGTTATATTATGCCTCTGTAATAGTGCAGAGCCATTAAAATTAACATTGTAGAAGTGTATGCATTGACATGGAAAAATATTATTAAGTGGAAATGCAAGCCCAAAAACTGTATATTCAATATGATTCCATTATATTAAGAAAAATATGTGTGTGTGTGTGTGTGTGTGTGTGTGTGTATGTATAGAAAAAAACTTGGAAAAAACCATACCAAAACATTAATAATGATTATCTTTGGATATAGTATTCAGATTATTTATTATGTTCATCAGTATTTTCCACATTAGTTGGGTAATTTTTATGATAAATTTTTAAAATTCTACAAAACGTACGACCTTGAGTAAGACTCTGCAGAGATGGCCGGGCGTGGTGGCTCACGCCTATAATCCTAGCACTCTGGCAGGCCGAGGCGGGAGGATTGCTCGAAGTCAGGAGTTTGAAACCAGCCTGAGCAAGAGCGTCTCTACTATAAATAGAAAGAAATCAATTGGCCAACTGATATATATAGATATATATAAGATATATATAGAAAATATATATATAGATATATATAGAAAAAAATCAGCCGGGCATGGTGGCACATGCCTGTAGTCCCAGCTACTCGGGAGGCTGAGGCAGGAGGATCGCTTGAGCCTAGGAGTTTGAGGTTGCTGTGAGCTAGGCTGACGCCACGGCACTCTAGCACTCTAGCCTGGGCAACACAGTGAGACTCTCTCAAAAAAAAAAAAAAGACTCTGCAGAGATGTATTCTAGGTGAATGGTGCCTGTTACTAGGGTAACAAAAGAGAAGAGGATACCTCTAGGGGGCATCAACTCCCAAATATTGCAGAAGCTTCAGACCAAAAAGGAGAGGTACTTTATACTCATGTTAGCAATCAGCTTATCTGGAGGCTTTGTTGGAAAACAAAAGATGAAAAGAAAAAAGGAAAAAAATTTAAAAAGAAAAAGCTGAACTCACTGGTTCCCTCGTTCTTTTTCCTTCAGCCCAAAGATCTCCAGGATGCCTTCCTGATGTGACTTTAGACTGGGTGTCTTTTCTAATGAAAGCATGTGGCTATAGCCCTTGGATGTACGTTTTACCAATGATTTTTCTGGTTATTTAGCCTCTGGTTGATTGCCAACTTCATGTTTACTTTCTGAATAAGCCTCTTAATGTCATAACTTTGTTCCATTACAGAGTGCAACTGCTCTGCCAGGTACTTGGCGAAGAACAGACGTGCACTTAGAGAACCCGGAATACCACACCAGATGGTATTTCAAGTATTTTTTAGGACAAGGTAATTATGCCATTATGGTAGTTGGGAAGAAAGGATATTCAAAATGGAAATTAGTGTAATTTCAGGTACCCTGTATAAGTGAAACTAACCAATTTAGGGACACTAACATCAGGGCATTTCGCTTCAGGGTCAGTAGTGAGTTTTGTAGATTAAAAGATTCAATTCAGAGTCTCAGCTCAAGAGTTTTGCTCGTAATTTTTTTGGGGGGAGGAGCAGTTATTTTTGTCCTTGGGGAATGAAAAGGGGATTAACTAACCTGATGAGTGATTTGGGAGATAAAAAGAATTTTTCAGAATGAGTAAACTTCTTTAGACCTAATAAGGCAAGTGCCCTGTCTATAGTGGGTTTTGAACAGAACTGGTTCTCTGAGGTCAAGGGCCAGTATAGAACCAGAGAAGCATTAGATTGTAGGCTCTGGCATCATTCATACATTCATCAGTGACAAGGATTTGTTTATCACCTACTACATGCCAGGTGATATGCACAGTGGCAAAGGCAGTCATGATCCCTGCTCTCATGGATCCTGTAGAATGGGTTTGAATCCTGGTCCTGCCATTAGTAATCATAGGACCTTACACTAGTTACTCTCTACTTCTCTGAGACTCAGTTTCCCTGTTTGTAAAGTGAGAGCCCAAGTAGCTGGGACTACAGGTGTATGTCACCTCACCTGGCTAATTTCTTTTATTTTTAGTAGAGATGGGGTCTCATTCTTGCTCAGTCTGGTCTCGAACTCCTGAGCTCAAGTGATCCTCCCGCCTTGGCCTCCCAGAGTGCTAGGATTACAGGTGTGAGCCACCCTGCCAGGCCTCTTCCTAGTAAGTTTAAACAGAAGTTTCAATGAGATATGCAGGAATAACAATAACCCTGGCACATACCAAGAGCCATCATTAATAGCTATGTACATTTAAAGTGGAGGGCTCAAATGAAAATAGATAGAAAGATGGAAAACAGGAATATGGCTAATGACAAAAGATATAGGGAATGGAAGAATAATCTCTGTTGAGGGATTTGAAATAAGTTAGAAAATATGCTTCTTAGACTAATGCATTTGTTTATAGATGTGATACTTGAGCTGTATGACATGAGTGTGAGCAGACCTAAATGATATCTTTTAAGAAATGTGATTCTGTATTCTAAGAGGTTCATTTATTTGGCTTAGCCATAATTTATTGGGAGGATATGGAAGGATGTATAAAGAAAGAAATCAGCAGGAAAGTCATCTTTCCAGTGCTTGCAAGCATAGTGCCCAGAGCAGTAAGGACTTTACAGATAAAAGCAAGCAATGAGTTTGGATGCCTTCAGCTACAAGTAACAAAACTCGACTCAAACTGGTATAAACAATAAGCGATATGACGAGAAACCCAGAGGCCTGGCACACTCCAGGTTGGTGAATTCAGAGGCCAGGTAATGTCCAGGACCCAGGCCTTTTCCCTTTTTCTCCTTCCCCATCTTTAGTGTGGCAACATGGCCCTTGGGCTGGCCCTTCTCAGGGTTACAAGAGGGTTGCAGCAACTCCAGGCATCACTTCTAGACACCACCATGTCCAAAGGAAAAAGAAGGCTATATTTAAGAGTGAGGAAGCCTTTCCAAAAGCCCTTTGGCAGATTTTTCTTCCTGCTGATTGGGTAGAATTGGCTCACATATTCATTCCTGAACCAGTCAGTGGCAAGAGGAAGGGAAGTGCATGATTAGCAGAGTGATTGGGTTCCATCCTGAGCTGGGCTTGGGATTATTGTTCTCTGACCATGTGGGAAGGGCTGGACACCACCTATATTGTCATAGGACGTACTACACTGCTACCTATGACTGGCAGGACCAGTTGCATTCTTGATTTTCTAAACCTGTGTCTTTTCCAGTCCATCAGAATTACATTGGAAATGATGCAGAGAAGAGCCCCTTCTTCTTGTCCGTGACCCTATCTGACCAAAACAATCAGCGTGTCCCTCAATACCGTGCAATTCTTTGGAGGAAAACAGTAAGTATCATCTTGCACTTGAGGCAAAGCTTATACAACAGTTTCAGGAGATAATGCCTGAGTTGGGGAACTGTGTGCCAGTCTTCCGAAATGCACATGCCTTTGTCCAAAGGCATGTGCATTTCTGTACTGGACAGGCTGTGTTCTGACTTTTTTTTTTTTTTACTTATTTATTTTATGTTTGCTAATTACAGCATTCTGGTCTCTTCTAGTTAAAATATTCTCTTTGGGATGAATCTGTCTCTTTTGGGCAAATCATTGGTCTTCTGATTTCTTGCCCCTCCTCCTGTTCCTCTTGTAGCTGGTATTTGGGGACCTGGGAGAGGATTCATGAGACTTCGTGGTGGCAGAAGGACACAGAGGACCTTGGATTCACATGGGCCTTCTGAATTCTTTCTGGCTTCTGGGTTCTGTTGTGGGGTAGCTTATCTGGTCTCTGAACTAGCAACCACTGAGGTATAACTGGTCCCTCTGGCTCTTTTGGGTCATGGGAAAGCACCTGCCGCTGAAACCCATGGTCCCAGCCATTAGCCTCTTGTGAGTCACTCTTTGGCTGGATCCCAAGTCTCTTCTAGTCTCTGAACATCCTAGAAGCTTTACATCCCCTTCTGGGGCACACCGCCTGCAAGCCATGGGCAGATGTGAGGAGGTGGGACCCCCTGCTTAGGCCCACATCTGTGATCTTTCTGGTCTTCAATGTTTGTAGCTGCTGACTTACCGCCGCTCACTGTGTTCAGACAAGTGCTGCATGGACTTAAGATTCCTATGAAAGGCCATGCCTGGAAAGTGAGACTCTGGTATAGATGTTCTTAGGTGCTTCCGGGTCTTACTGTGTTATATTTGCAGCACCCCCCACTCCTTCAAGTACTGTCCTTGGCATTGGGGAATCCAAGGCCCTGGTGTCCACTCCTCAACCTTCCTGTCCCCTCCCTCCCTCCCTCCCTCCCTCCCTCCTTCCTTTCTTCCTTCCTAGGTAGGTCTCCCACTTCTTCCACCTTTCTGGAATGGGCTTTCTCAATGTCACAGCTTCTTCCTTCAGGAAGTAGCAGTCACCCACCTCCTCACCTGAGATGGCTGCCAGGTACAGAGCAGGACAAACGCAGGGGGAAATTTTTGCTTATTTTAATTTCCAAAGATATTGTCTGTATCCCATTACAAATTGTGATAAGCACTCTGAAGAAACAAAGAGGATGACAGAGAATGATGCAGGAGACCTGCTTAATGAGATAGTTCAGGGAAAGCTCCCTGAGGGTGCACCCTGCAAATGGAGACCTGAAGGATGAAGGGAGCCGGCCACTGCAGAGTCAGAGAAGGGGAAGCCAGCGTGTTCCAGACAGAGGGAGCAGCAAGCACAAGACAGGTGAGGGGCACCCTGTGGGCTGCTCTCACCTGGTATGAGAGAAGCCAAGGAGCAGGGATTTAAGCCCCAGGACCACTGTGACAGTAACATGGGGCCAGGCGTGGTGAGCAGTGGTCCCCTTCTGTTGAGAAGTGCCGTCACCTTCATGCAGAACCTCTTACCTAGGTCCCAGGTGGCATGCCTAGGGCAGTGTACAGGATTGCTTTCAGCTGCAGATAGAAGTACTGAAGGGAGGGAGGAACTGAGACATCAATGCGGAACATTGGCATAAAGGGTCGGTTATTAAGCCACTCTTGGCCCAAAACCAGTGCTAGAGGTGTGTGACTCGGCCCTCTCCCACCCCACCACATGCTCACTTCTGTTAAGTTGTAAAGCAGTTAGAAGACTAGCTAAACACATGCATATGCTCTGTACGCATGCAAGACTGTGTAGACAGATATGCCTACCATATGCAGCGTTGCATATCTGCAGTGTTCCCCTAAACACAGAAGGCTCACAAAAAGAAAGTATGAAAAATGACTCATACTTACTGTAAAAATGCCATCCAGACAATACAGCAAGAGAGAAGAATCCAACTGCTCAGAGATAATCACTGCAACAGAATTCTAAACATCTGCATGCACGCACACATGGACACATGTGTAACATGCGGGGCAGTGCTCGCCATGCACTCCTGCATCCTCACAGTGCTCACTCAGTGTGTGCTTAACTCTGCCTATGCATTGATGGTCCCCAGAACCAGCTTACTCAAATATCAACTCTAGAAAGTTACCCAAGGGAGGAGATGGCAAAGATGAGCTTTACTTATCAGTTTGCAGTGAAGAGAAACACAAACCCATAATCCCTGGGTTTTGCACCCACGTAGGCAGTTCATGAAGATGTTACTATCCCCAGCAGAGGGCTGGAGCCCACCCCCATGCCACACGTGCCCCCAGGCTGCCCTTGGCTTCTCTATAAAACTGCCTTTGGTGTGTGGGGTGAGAAGAAAAGGTAGACAAGGTAGGAGCTGAGCAAGGGGGCAGTTCTAGACCCTCTCCTAGGCAAGCTGGTATCCGGCCTGGGGGATGCAGCATGAGGTAGGCTGGGGCCAGTAAAAAAGCAAGGCCCCAGAGGAGCTCGGGTCTCAACAGGTGGGACCTGTGGAATTTGAAAATGGGTATTTCTATCATAATATTCCTCTGTATTTATAAAAATTTCTAAACCTCTGTAAGATAGACTACAAAAAGAAAAGCTCAGTCTCATTTCCTTGGCTCACAGAGAATCTATAGACAGGCTCTGTCTAGCACAACTTCTGATGCTCAGCCGCAAAGACATCCTCCTTCCAGCCTGGAGTGGGTGAGAGTATCTGCAGGGGTGTGGGAAAGGACGTTGGGTTTATGAAAATAAATTGCGGTCTTGAAGAAATTGAGGAACTCCGCTTCCATACCATTGTGCAGAGCTTGGACAGATGAATTGACAGGTGTGCCCTGAAAACACAACAAAAGTCTTATTTATTCTTTGCCCATTTCCTGCAAGAAATATCCTTATCCTCCTCCAGCTGTTTGTGAGGCCAATTTTATCATTAGTCAAAGTTAGGATGAAAGTTTTAAATATGCACTATGGGATAATCCCTTTTGCTAACTGGGTAGTTTGAATCCTTTGTGGATTATGAATCTGTGTCATCTCTTCTTAGACGATTAGGAAGAGAACAGCACCCATCTGTTCTGGGTGGTGGGACGTGGGGCTGAATCATTCAGGCGATTCTTTATTCATTCCCTTGTCAGCCAGCGAGTATCTATTGAGTACTTTCTATGAGTTAGTCGCAGTGGGTACTCGTTTAGAGACTTTCAGTAACAGAATACAGACAAATATAAAAGTACACATTGTTAACAGCTCTCTGAAAGATTTAAGTGATTTCTAGTTCAAAAACTCTTTGACTTGGAGACATTGTATTTGGGTTCCATTGAACATGTGGAGATTGTTTTCTTCTTATGATCTTTGAGGCTTATCCGACTCTTGGCTCAGAGAACAAATCCCCTCTCATCTGGTTGAGGTGACGCATCTGCTCTCCACAGCGCCGCCTAAGACGCTGAGGACCTGTGCGTTGAAGATTCGTGTTTGAATCACACATGTTGGGTGGGAGATAGTGTGGAATGTCTTTGTTCATATACATTCCCCTTGAGGAAAAATGAGGAAGACTGGAGACTGGACACGGCTTCTTTTAAATGACCAGAGAGGCACTTTCAGAGACGAAGCTGCAGAGCTTCTCGCTAATTTGGTGTTTTGACATTTCCAGGGTACTCAGAAAATATGCCTTCCCTACAGTCCCACAAAAACGCTTTCTGTGAAGTCCATCTTAAGGTGAGTATTAATGACAAAAACCCCACACCAGCATTGGGAGCCCTTTACAAATTGTTTTTTCCTGTTGTCATTCTGACGTTAGCTTTCCATTTTCTTGAGCCTTGACTATGTGCCAGACAGTTTGCTAATAAGCACTTGACTTGCATTACCTGGTGTAATCATCACAGCAACCATAAAACAGGTGCTGTGGCCGTCCCCATTTTATAAATGAGGAGACGGAGGTTCTGAAAGGGAAGGCCAAGATCACACAGCCAGTGTGTGGCACAACCGAGGACCGAGTCCTGCCTCTCTTTTCTTGCATACACTCAGATACTTTGGTTTTATAAAGAAAATCAAGAAATGTTCTTCCTTTCATTTTTCTACTTTGAAATAGAAACCCAGATGTCAGCAAAGCCTTCTCTGAGAAGAATGTGCTTATTCTTTGCTAAACAGAGAGTTAAATGAATGGAACATCAGGCTGCTCCCTGCTCAGCTGCCTCTCCTGCCCCCACCTTCCCACCTCCCTCTCATCTCTCACCCATGCTTGGGCAGCAGCCTACCCTGGGGAATGCCACCACTTGGATCCAGACTGTTGCTTTGTCACCAGCTAAGATATTACATCATAGGAACAGGAACTTCTGCATGTCAGGCACTATGCTAAATGCTTTCCAAGCATTCTCTGAGTAAATCTTTAAGCCACCTCCACGCATGGATATATTATTATCTGCATGCCATTTAACAGGAATTGGAGCCTCAGAGAGAAGAAGGGATCTGACAGAGATCTCACAGCTGATAAACTGCAGGGCTGGGATTTAAACCTATATCCCTGTGACTCCAGCGCTTGGGCATTAACCATTAATGCCACACTGTGTGAAGGACAAATCTTATCCCAGTGCCTTGGCAATTTCGTCTCTATTTGTCTGTGACTAGATTGTAGTAGGAGAGATGTTTTCAGTATCCCCAGGAAATACATGAGAGCTACCACGCATCCTTACCAAAATGGCTCTTAGAGTAAAAAACCTGACTCTGTCTGTTGGGGATGGCATCTGGCTGATTAAAAGACATCAAGATTAGAAGTAAACAATTTTATATCCCATTTTCAAGCTTAGTTTAGTCTCCAAATTGCAGACCTTCATCCTGTCTGCTCTAGGCCTTCTGATTTTCTCCTGAGCAGTTCTACAGCCTGAGTTAAGAAAGGATCCACCAACAGGTCAGCATTTTTACTGAGCACAGAAATATCTTACTTCTTCTAAGGAGCAATAAATCTTAACTTGATTGGAGAGTAAGAGTCCAAATTATGCTGGCTTAATATTTCTGTGACTCTTTTTTTTCCCCCTTAAAACAAGTTATTCCAGCTCCTTCTTTTTTTCTGTTTAAAAACTAAGCATTTCATTTAGTTATATTTTATTTAGTTACTTCGCTTTTTAGTACACCACTTATAGCCAGAGCAAGGTACATACAGCAAGATTTTAAAGGTGTGGAAGAGTTGCTGCCAATAGAAGGAAAAATTTTATCTTCTTCAGTTACAAGAATGAACTTGAAATCTTAAAAGGAAATTAAAATACAAATACTGTGAAATCAGTTGAGCCCAGGTCCAAGTCCTGGCTCTGCTCTTTCCCAGCTTTGCTATCCTGTTCTTCACACTCTAACCTTCAATTTCTTCTTCTTCAAAATGGGGATAAAATAGTACTTGCCTCATAGGGACTAAATGAGGTAATACATGGAAAGCATTTACCAGGGTGCCTGGAGTATTGTGAGTACTCTATAAATTATCTGTTACTATTTTTACCTTTCACTTGTAAATGTTGGAATCCCAACTGAAAGGGACCTTGGAGATCACTTAGTTCAACCTCCTTGCTTTACCTCCAGAGGCACTTGTATTTATTAATTAACATTAATGTTACCTGTCCAAAGTAAACATAAACTAGTCTTGTTAGGGATGGTCTTGCCTGTAGCAAAGACATGTCAGTTAATCTTAATTCCATGTCATCATTTTTCTAGTAAATAAAAATAAGAATCTGGAAGAGTAATCAAAGTTGCTTGAAATAGATGTTCCTGACCTCTCCTTCCCTCTCTACTGCGTGAGTGACACTAGGGGACAGTTGTATAAGTAAAGTACCGTGTGGTATTTGGTTACTCCCACATACTCATCCAGTGATCACTCATTTGTTGGTTTGTATCTTCTCAGTGCCAAGCCCTTCAGGGAATCCAGCAATGATTTTCTAGAAGATGTTATTTAGCTTCTCTGAAGAACTGAGACTTGCTCCCCATTATTCACATTTCCACCACACTGAAGCTCATTCTGTCTATTCTATTTCAGTGCCATGAATCTGGAAAAATTTGAAAAAGGTCCCAGGGAGATTTTTCATCCTGAAATACAAAAGGTAAAGTTTTATGCCTCATAATTGTACAAAAGCCATTGCAATATTAGGATGGAACTGACAGTGATTCTTAGCCTTGGATACAGACAAGAATCATCTATGCAGCTTTGAAAAAAATCATCATGAGTGAGCCTCACACCTGAGATTCTGATTTGTTGGGTCTAGGATAGAGCCTGGGAATCTGTGTTTTTCAAAAGTGATTCTGACCGATTCTGATGTAGAGCCACTTCTGAGAACTGCTGAGCTGTCCTCAATCCATGAACTCAATAGGATGTACATTCAGAAAGATCTTGTTGGCTTAAAAGCCAGTCTTTTTACTGAGTGATGTAGAAGTGTGTGGAATATGAAAGAGACTTTTTAAATCTAATAAAATATAAAATGTGGTTATTGAGCTATTATGCATGTAGAACACAATGCAAGGTGCCATTGAGGATAAAAGGTATCCAGAAAGTCATCTCTGTTTTCTTAGAACTTCTGAAAACAGTCTGCCTTGGGAGAAAAAAAAATAGTCTAGGTAATGGTTCATCAGAAAAATGTCAACCACACTTTTGTCTTGTAGTTGTAACCAATTTAGCTTTGAAACTTATAAACACAGCTATCACTAGTAGTGTGACAGTCACATGTCAAAGCTGAGATTCAAGGAACTGGGTACCCCAGGGCTGAGTGACAAGGGAAGAGGGAGCCTGGTTGGAATTCTATCCAGGAGGCAGCAGGGAGCCAGTATACTTGAAGACAGAGAAGCACCATGCTGCAGTTTGCTTTTGCAGAAAATTATTTAGTGTGAGGAGGATTGATTAGAACATGAGCAATCTTTGTTTGCATATCTTTAAAATATAATTCGCTTTTAAAATAAGGTTATTGGTTCTCAGCTTACCCTAAATCTACAGAGTTGTGAATTCCCACATCTTTTGTTTTAATTTTTAAAGTAGTATCCAGCCTCAGCCCCAGACAGAACTCAGACAAAAATGAGGGTGTTAGGTTAAACCGTGCTATGTTTAAAGGTGATTCTTCATAGCAAATTTAGAAACAAATTAGAATTTTAAATATGTCAGTACAGTATGCCTTATTACTTTGCTCATACAAGTTATCATTTTTAATCCTTTCCTTCTTTGAGCCTTCATGTAACCACCCCCCCCAACACCGCCACCAACCCTGTTCCAGATCCTGAGCCCCAAAACCCACGGAGCCAACTCTGTGGCACTTCTTTCTTCATCTTGCTGCCAGGCAAATTCTCTTAGTAGAGCTCATCCCTGCTCAGTCATCCCTATCTGCTTTCTCTCTTCTACAAAATAAAAGAGGACAAGAGACTCTGAATTTGTAAGCATCAGAAACAGCTGCCATCAGATTTCTGTAGATTTCCATTAGGAACCCTTGAGCAACAGGCTTTACGTAGGGAGGAAAGTGTTCTTTAAAATCACAGAATCCGAGCCGGGCGCGGTGGCTCACGCCTGTAATCCTAGCTCTCTGGGAGGCTGAGGCGGGTTGATTGCTCGAGGTGGGAGTTCGAAACCCCTGAGCAAGAGCGAGACCCCGTCCTCTACTATAAAAAGAAGAAACAATTGGCCAACTAATATATTATAAAAAAAATTAGCCGGGCATGGGTCAGCCTAGTCGTAGCGAGCTGAGGAGAGGACGCTGAGCAGAATTTGAGTTGGTGAGCAGCTAGCATGGACACTAGCCTAGCAAACAAAGCGAGACTTCTCAAAAAAAAAAAAAAATCACAGAATCCAAAGAGTAAACAGAAAGTAAACCAATTGCATTATACAGAAGATATCTTTCGACACACAGGGAGTATGGCTAATGCTGTTTTAGAATGTTCTTCGTCTGTTTATGGCTGCTATAGGGTAGTAAAATTTTTCTTGACCAAGATTTTTCCAGAAACAATGTTTGATTAAGCTAGCTTTAAATGGATGGAGATACCTGAGTGTCTGTGTTTCTTCCTACTTCAGTCCGTCAACTTTGTTTCCAGATTGTTGTAATATAATGTGACTTTCCTAAATGACCAAGTATTTATAAAAATTTGTAGACTTAAATTTGAGTTTTTTAAAGCATTTCCAGGTTTTAAAAAAGTGTATGTAAAATTACTCTCTCCCAAATCCCATATATATGGGGAAAAAAATCAGTGTCAGCCTCAAATTAATTATTAGAATCATGTATACATCAAAAAATAATGCCAGTAGGACTGTATTAAGAAATACCATTACTAGCCCAAATTATACTTTCTGGACTAAAATTACAAACTGGGAAACAGCAAAAAGAGGACTTAGCTGATGCTTACAAATTCAAGAACAAAAATATTTTAAAAACCTGAATCATGTTAAGTGGGACATTGGCAAGCTAGGGCAAATTGCACGACCACTTGCTTCTGAACAAACGTAATTCAAAATAAGGAAACTACAAAATAAATGCAGCCTGACAGCCAGTGACATCTCTCCTGACCTGGAGCTGAGTGTTGAGACGCTAGCCCCTGAGCTCAGCTAGGACTCCTGGTGCCAGGCTCTGATCTCTGCAGCCTGGCCCACTGAGGAGCAGCCTGTTACAAAGCCAGGGACTGGTTGCAAAACATCCCAGCCATAGTCCTTGCTGGGTTAATTGGGAAGCTGACAGGTCTGAGCTTTCCCTTGTCACATTCCCTGCAGTTAACATGGAAGGAGCACTGTGCCGAGAGTTAGAACTGGGTGGGAGATTCAGAGTTTGCCAGGAGACCTCAGCCCAGGGGGCACCCCCCAACCTTAAACTCCTCACCTGCCATTCAAGAACAATTAAACCACATCACAGGGGGGTAAGATAAAAAAAACTCGGGAGAGGATTGTGTAATCAAATGTAAGGGCACATGCAAATATGAAGCACCAATGTAAAAATGTAGAACACAATTTTATTTTTATTCAGAATTCAGAAGTAATAAAGATGGCTGAGTTCTGAATGAAAGACGATTCCCATTAAATAAAAAAGAAATGTCTTCATTTGACACAGCTTAGCCACAGAGAGCGTTGGGCAAGAAGGAGGGGGAGGGTTCCCACCCTGACCTTTGTCCCCGGTCCTATCGAGGTCTCCCCATGGCAGCTGTGGCTTACCTGGTCAGCCCTTGCCCACATTTGCTCATCTGCAGTTTCCCCATCAGAACCTTTGGCTTTGGTGTCAGCATATCAAACAGAGTTTTTAAGAAGTTCTGGGAAAATGGGATTTCTATGTAATTAATAGAGTGAGAACGAGAAAGAAAGTAATTTAAGGTTGATTAAATCTCCATTGTGTACCAGGCCTCCCGTGCACACGTGTTCCCTTACTCTTCACATGACCTTCACAAGGGTTAAGACAGAAGTTATCCTGGACCATGGAGAAGGAAGCAGAGACTCAAACAGGTTAAATGACTTGTGCCCAATATAGTTAAGAATGTGACTGAGCAAGGACTCAAGGCCAGGATTGTTTAGGTTCACTGCTCCATGCTGCTCTTACAACAGGGTCTCTGAAGGAGCCAAGTTAGGTCAGGCAAATGGCAGGGAAAGAAAATCCAAGACTCTTGCCTCTCACCTTTGGTCATAGTTGGGATTTTTTCCCCTCCAATCATAAGTTCCTAAAACCAACTTTTTAAATTATTTTCAAAATGACATTATGAGTAAACCAATGCTTGGCTTTCACAGAAAATCAAAATGAAACAATCACCGTTATGTGTGGACATAACTTTTACAATTTTATTTTACAGGACTTGCTGGTTCTTGAAGAACAAGAGGTGAGTGATCTTATGCAGATATTTGCTCCTGCTGTGCTCTGCCTCCGTGTTTGTAAATATACTTTCCTCTTCACTGGGAACACAGCCTTTTCTTTCAGTCATACCTCTATGTGAGTCTGTTATCATTCAAAGACTTTACTAACATGTTTTTCAAGGTATATTTCAGAATTTTCTATACAGCTAGCTATAAAGATATAAAAATAATGAAACTACTTATATCTGCTTGGGAACATTCAAATGTTAACTTTGTGATCATGGTGAGTAATGAGGTTTTAATTTTCATCAAAGTAGGGTGTTTATGCTTTATTAGGATGCTCTCATTTATATACAAAATGCCATATTTATTTGCATGTCCCTATTCCTTGTTGCCCCATTTAAAAAAATATATTGGGTTTTCTAAGTATATAACTAATATGAGGATATATTTAAAATATTATCAATAGGCAATTGAGTAAATAATGGTTTATATATTATATCTAACAGTAAATGACAATATCATATGTCCATTTGGCTCAGGCCAAACTTGGAAAAATCCTAATGCCTCTCATTCTTTGATACCCCATATCTAATCCATCAGCACATCCTGGTGACACTTCATAAAATATCCCTGATTCAAACACTTCTCAATGCTTATACCATGACCACTCACTATGATGACGCCACCCCCACCATCTTTTGCCTGGACTCTTCAGTCTCCTAAATCTCTTCCTGGCCTACACACCCACCCGCTCTGGTTTTCAGATAGCATCCAAATGATCCTTTTAAAACATGTTGAATCAGGCTGTCTCCCTGCTCAAACTCTAAAGTCTTCCTGTCCCACCCAAAGGAAAGCCCCAAATCCTTACCCTGAGCTGCCAGGGCATGCAGGAAGTGGCCCCTGCTTCCTCTCCCAGCATCAGCTCCACACTAACCATACTGACCTCCTTATTCTTCTACTTCCTCAGAAAGAGCCTGTTGTTCCCACCACCAGGGGTGCTTATCTCCCAGATGTCCTTAAGGGTTATGCCCTCACTGAATCAAGACTTCTGCTCAAAGAGGACTACCCTGACCACCCTATCGAGAACACCACACCCTGCCTCTCACCCACAGCCTCTTTACTCTGCTGTGGTTTTCTTCTTAACTCTGTTTTTTTTTTTTTTTTTTTGAGACAGAGTCTTGCTTTGTTGCCCAGGCTAGAGTGAGTGCCGTGGCGTCAGCCTAGCTCACAGCAACCTCAAACTCCTGGGCTCAAGCAATCCTGCTGCCTCCGCCTCCCAAGTAGCTGGGACTGCAGGCATGCGCCACCATGTCTGGCTAATTTTTTTTTCTCTATATATTAGTTGGCCAATTAATTTCTTTCTATTTATAGTAGAGACGGAGTCTCACTCTTGCTCAGGCTGGTTTCGAACTCCTGACCTTGAGTAATCCGCCCGCCTCGGCCTCCCAGAGTGCTAGGATTACAGGCGTGAGCCACCGCACCCGGCCCTTAACTCTGTATTTTCATTTGTTTATTATCCATCTCCTCTGTGAGATTATAAGCACCCTGAGAGCAGGGACTGACTTACTTTTGTTCTCTGCTGTATCCCCATATATTCCCATATCCTAGAACAGGTCAAATAGAAGGTACAGAGTAAATATTTGGTGGTTGAACAAGTGAATGATTGAATGAATTATGAAGTACTATGATGTCATTTGAAAAATGAGGTAGACTGCTAAGGTCTGAATATTTGTGTCCCCCCAAAATTCATATGTTGAAACCTGACTAGGAATATGGTGGTATTAGGAAGTAGGACCTTGGGGAGTGATTAGGTCATGAGAGAGGAGCCCTCAAGAATGGGATTAGTGCCCTAATAACAGAGGCCAAGGGAGCGTATTTGCCCCCTCTGTCATGTGAGTACGTAGCAAGAAGGTGCCATCCATGAACCAAGAATAGGGCCCTCACCAGACACTGAATCTGCCAGTACCTTGATCTTGGACTTTCTAGACTTCAGAACTGGGAGAAATAAAATTTCTGTTGTTTATAAGCTACCTAGTTTATGGTATTTTGTTATAACAGCCTGAACAAACCAAGACATAGACCTTTATTTACTGGCATGGAAAGATTTCCTAACATAGTATTTACTGAAAAAACCAAATCAGTTAGTTCTCAAAAAGGAGTGAAAATTATAAAAAAGCAAATCAGTGGACATTATTTACAATAAAATCCCAGTTGTGTTTTTATAAACAAATATTTGTATATCTATTCATTCATTCATTGATTCAAGAAATATTTATTGAGCTCCTACTGTGTGTGTACTGTTTGAGGCATTGGAGATGTATCAGTGAGCAAGCAAGGTCCCTTCTTTTCGGAACTTACAGTCTTGTTAATGAACCTGCAAAGGGGGTTTTTAATTACTGAGACAATGAGGACTGTCAAGGAGGAAAGGAAGTTTATTGTGGAGGACATCAACCGGCAGGTGGGAGGACTGCCTCAAATCTGTCTCCATGACCTACGGGATCAAGGGTTTTTCTAGAGGTGAAATGAACAATGCATGAAGTAAATGAGCATCATTCATGATTGGGATAAAGTGCAGGGCACCCAAGCACAGTTAGAAATCATACCGGTACATACATCATATGATCAAAAAATGGTAGCTAAGCTCCTCCCGTGGCAGGGATCTTAGTGGTGTAATGAGCCTAGAGGGTAATATTTGTCACCCTGTCAGTCTTGTGTGCATGCAGGTTGTAGGGAGTAGGTTGCTTACCAGGTCCTGGAGCAAGGTTTGCAGTGGAATGCCACTTCTCTTAACTTTTTTGAACAATCAAGTTGTGTAAGACTTTGTAGTTATCTCGTGACTGCAAGGAGGTTCTAGGTACCTTCTGTTTCACTGGAGATACCCAGTGAAACAGGAAGTTACTAAGTTCTGGTCAATAAATCTTACTGGTCTGGGAACTTGAAACATAAGAGAACTACAGAAAGGTGTTTTTGTTCCTGGAGCTGCTTACAGTCTGGTGGGGTAAGACAAGCCAAATATGTAAACAAACACACATAGCTTGGTAATAACTAGCCCCAAGATCTGTGAAGAAAGTAACACAGTAGTGTACTGTGGGGTGAGGAGTGGGTTTTTTACATTGAACAGACAGAGACGATCTCTCTGAGGCAGTGACATCTCGGCTGATTCTTATACATGTAGATGTAAATGCAAAGAAGGGACCTGAAAGGATGTACCCCAAATTTTTGACAGCCTTTACTTTTGTGCAGAACAGTATAACTCTAGTTTGGAATGTGGCAGAACATGGGTAAAGGGGAAGACACCTACATTTTTAAGGGGTCTCACTATATTGCCCAGGCCGGCCTTAAACTCCTGGGCTCAAGCGATCTTCCTGCCTCAGCTTCCCGAGTAGCTGGGACTACAGGTGTGTGTCACTGCACCTGGCTACATTTTTATCTATATGTTGTCTGTGTTGGATTCATGTTGCAGGAGAATTCGTTGACTCTGTGTATAATTCATAAAAGGCAAACAGTAAAAATAATCCACATTTCTGACAAACATTTGAAAAATACAGACATGTACAAAAGATAAAGGGAAAATATCACCTGCAATCACAGAGACAACTACATTTTGTTATGTGTTTGTTATTTTTTATATAAAATTAGGATTATACTATATATAGTTTTTATGTCTCAAAATTACTATAGTCATTAATTCACAGATATTTATTAAACATCCACTGAGTGTATGCACATGCCTGTTATAACAAACAATACAGAAATTTATTTATGAGAAATATGAACACCTTCCCCTACTTCCCCACTTCCACCCCCTAAAGGAACCCCAGTTAGCTATTTGTTTGTATTCTCCTGTGCTTTTTTTGAAACTCCCAAGTTTTGAAAAATAAGTTACTGATCTCTTTATTTCTAAATTTTACTTCTTCACTAAGAAGATATTTGCTTGAAGCAACAATAGTCACTTGTTATGACAGCCTGAGGAGGTATCCTCCAGTCTCCATCCTCCAGAGCTGCCTTGTGGCCAAGGCATTTCTATTTACTCCTGCAGCTTCTCAGCTAGGATAAATTGGGAGCATTTATTCCAATTCCAGCTTATTCTAGTGATAAACTAGAACTGCAAAGATGGGCTAGGAAAAATTTAATAAACAATAGTATGATGCTCCCAAAACGTTAGCTATTTGGTAAAATGATGTCAGTGTCCTGAAACTCATGTTTTATTTGCTGCATAGAGAGACACCCCCATGAGAGAACATGGCATCCCAAGCTGTAATATACATGGAGAAGAACATTTGGACCCTAGAAATACAGAGGCATTTACTAGACAAGAGTAACAAGGAACTAGGGTGTCTAGTTTTGAATAAGCCATCATTCCTCACTTCCACAAGATTCTTCTGGAATGGGACTTTAGTTTTCAATCATACTTCACTTTCACTTTTCTCAAAAGAAATATAATTCCTAACGTACTATTAATTCCCAAGAATGTGATTATACATTGGTTTGTGATTATGCTGAGTTTTGTCTTATAAAATTTAGTACTTTAAAAATTTTAATTCCATACAAGTAGGAATAACAAATGTGACCTTATCTGTATGTTGAGTGTCTAGCAGGACTTAAGTTCTGAGAAAACCAGTGCTTACACATTCCCTGCAGCAGTCATCTCTCTCCAGGGGCCCAGGTGTGGCCTTGGGACCTTGAGAGTTCCCTTGTGTCCCTCAAGATTCAGTGCTGCAAATAGCAGCCAACCTCATGGAGCACTAAGGGTGTCTTATTGAATGGCTGGTTAAAATATGATCTGTTATGGTCCAATTGCCACAGATCAAACTATCCCCTCCTAAAATATGAAATAACGCATTGTAATAAGCAATACATTGATTTCTAGAGATAGGTGAAAAACTCTCTGTAAGTCATGGGCATTGTTTGGGAAATGCTAGAAACCAAATTCCCTAAATGAGGCTTGTAAGTAAGTTCAAGTACTTAACAAGGCCTTGCAACACCATTTTTTCTGGAATCTCCACCTGAAGCAGGAGAGGTCCTTATAATTTATCATTTAAACTGGGACCTTTTGGAGAGTAATTATTATTAATAATACCAGGACAACATACAAAACAGATGTAAGCCAAGGCTGTCTTAGCAAACCGGGACCCATATACTCCCTACTATAAGTGACCTCCCTACTATAGGTGACATGGAAGATCCTACACCATTGGGTGCACAGGTACCTGGAAGATCCCCACCCTGCCACCCTCCATGCCTCATAGACTTGCAGTTCTTCAGTCTAACCCTAATAACTTGTGTTGAAGACTAAACAAGGCCTTACAACACCAGTCTTTCTGGAGTCTCCACCTGAAGCAGGTGGGGTCCTCAGCAAGGATACTGGTAGCATGGTACTTAGAGCAGCCCCATAAAAGCCTCTAAAAGCTTAGGCCAGTCATCTGGTGGCAGTAGGCCCTACCTCTGCTTGTAGCTATAAGTTTCATTCAACTCAGTACCATCCAGAGAAGACAATGCTGTGATATTGGAAAAAATGCTTGATCCCAGGTTCCCTCTCCAGTCCTGCCATTCACTTAGCTCCAGCTGTGGACAAGTCTCTTTCCTTCCCTTTGTTCCTTGTCTACTCCTTAGCTGACTGCCAAGAAAGCCTCCATCTCAGGGTGAGTCAGACAACCTTGCAGAGGTTAATTCTCTTCCAACATCAGGGTTTTTTATCATGAAATACTTCCAGCATACAGAAAAATACAGAAAATAAAATAGTGAAGCTCTATAAACCCACTACCCAGTTTAAGAAAAAAGAAAACATTAAAAATACAATTTAGACCCTGTTTGCCACTCCCTGACCCCATTCCTCTGTCTTGCTCCATTCCCTGTAGAAGCTGCTGGTTATCATTTCCACAGGATCAGATTTTAATTCAGTTTTGAGTTGAGGATGGTATGCTCTACATTTGTACCAGCTACTGCTTGCTTGGCTTGTTCTTTTTTTTTTTTTTTTTTTGTCCCTCCCCTTTGACACATCTGTTTTGTGACTTCTTCAGATTAAATATCTTTAGGGATTGGGGAAAATGAGCTTTTAGTGTAAATTGCCAACCATTTCCATTTCTGTTTCTAAAAGAGTGCACAAGATACCAGCCTGAAATTGTTATGTTAAGCTTTGAATTATAACAAATTCTCTTTGCTGATGGGGATTTGGACTATAGCTGGTGGGTTGATTAGAAGATGATACCAGGCTTGTGAGTTACTGTGGCCATTTGCTTGGAGCTCTGTTTTGCCACAGAATGGAACTAACATCCTGCAGAGGCCGTTAGTAATGAAATTGCAAATGAATTAACTCATATAAAGCATATAGTCTCACCTGTAAGCTATAAAAATCTGTAAGAATAAAAGAAGGATTGTTGTTAATGTTGGTTAAAATCAGGATGGATAGGAGGAAGGAACCCCCTTGAGTGTCCATTCTGGTGACTGAAGTTGTCCCAAGTAATGAACAGCACATCTCAGAACTATGCTTTCATGATAAAAATTAATTTTTAACACCTTTTGTTCTTATTGTAAGGGCTCTGTGAATTTCAAGTTTGGAGTTCTTTTTGCCAAAGACGGTCAGCTCACTGATGATGAGATGTTCAGCAATGGTGAGTGGTTTCCTCCCCTTTCTGCTGACAGAGGCCCTGTCTTGCCTTTTTGCAATTTAGGTAATCAAAATCAAATTTGTCTGTTGAGTTGGAGTAATGCAAGGAGATAGCTTTATAAAATTTCAGGGTAAATTTTGTAAGGCAGTTGTTGCATATATTTGGGATATATTTATTGATCACCTAATTTGTACCAGTCACTGCTCCAGGCACTGCAGAGGTGGAAAATGAGATGGAGAGATGGAGAATTTGGTTCTGCATAATCCCAAGAACAGTAGAAGATTTTTCTGTGTTTTTTATGGTTAGGAGAATTATATGATGGTGTCATATTCCTGATATTTAGCACTTTTCATGTTAAATACCTCTTTGTTATTAATGGTAGCAATAATATTTTCATTTTGCAATACCAAACACCTTTGCCTCCAGTCTGGTAGTGGCAAGATTTGTTTGTCTGGTTCTATAATTTTCCTTCTCTGGATTCCTGGCAATCGTGGAACTTCCTCATGGTCCCCAACAAGGAAATGTGACTTTTCCATGCTGTTTATTGTGCACACACACCAGAACCTAGTTAGTTCTCAAGTGATTCCAAGGAATAGTTAGAAAAAGAGGGCTTGTTAATACCCATGCTTTCTTCATACTTTACCTCTTCCTACAGAAATTGGAAGTGAAGCTTTTCAAAAATTTTTAAATCTCCTGGGTGACACAATCACCCTAAAGGGCTGGACAGGCTACCGTGGCGGTCTGGACACCAAAAGTAAGCTCGTCTTTTGATCTCTTCTGTTATAATTTGTTTAACTTTTGTTAGTAGGCCTGGTCTGAATTTGAACTGATACCTGAGATTGGGGAGGGGATGGACAAGAGATGGTTGAAAGGAGCTGAACTTCACATCTATTTGACATGGGGTCCTGGGCACATTCGGTGTCTCTGTGGAGCTCTGCAAGGCTCACAGCCCTCACAGCTCAGGTGGAGTCATGGTCTGTCCATAGATACCGTACGGTACCATCTGTGAGCCGGAGCTGTGCTGGCCCTAGGCATATAGCAGCAGATAACCAACGTGGGTCTCTGCCTTTCCAGGAGCCTAGAGTCCAAGAATAGCACAGACATTAAACAGATGATTGTCAGATAGTTTCGCACCAAGCTCTGAACTAAGAGGGTAAAGTCCAGAGTGCCATCGACTGCCAAATCTTGGGGGTTGGGGCAAGCTTCTCTGGGGGAATGACATCTGAAACCAGAGAGAGAGAGACCAATAGGGGTAATCGGAGTGTCTTGAGGGGGAAGAGAATTCCAAACAGAGAGAATATCTGTGAAGTTTCTGAGGCAGGAAAGAACACAATGTGTTCTGGAAACTAGAATGCCTTTATGGCTGGCAGGAGCAGAATGATGCAGTGTGGCCTGGAAAGGAGGAGAGGGCGTGACTCTGCAGGGAGTTTGAGATCATATTAATAACTTTGGATTTTATTCTCCATGCAATTGGATGTCAGTAAGGGGTTTGAAGTAAGGGAGGATGAGATCAGATCTGCACTTTTGTGCAGAAGGTGTGTGGAGAATGGCCCAGAGGGGAAGCAGAGGAGGAGCCAGCTGAGAGGCAAAGCAGAGATGGGATCACCTCGTGGGAGAGGCCGCATGTAAGGGGTTGCCGGGGAAGGGTGGACTCACTCCACAGCCATTTCCAAGGTAGACTTGGCAGCTCCCTCAGCTGACTGAAAGTGGGGTGAAGAGGAGAGAAGACCGTGTTATCCTGTGTTAATTTCATCCTGTATGCTCATAGCAACTGGCAGGCAAGGAATTGTATCATATTATCATCTTTAAGCCAGACTTCTCATGACCTTCTCTGTTCAGAGGCAAGGCATGAATTAGACAGCACACAAGCTTAGAGAGAGGAGGAGGTCTCTCCACGTCGGCAGGAGCCTCAAGTGGAGAGTTGATGCTTCCATGTGGGTGGATAATCCAGAATGATCTTTGAGAATGTACTATGTGCTGTATTTCCGTGGTCTGCAAATGAAAATTGTTTCCTTATGGCCTCAGAATTCTTTATGTTCACTAAATACTTATTTGTGTTTTACAGATGACACCACAGGGATACATTCAGTTTATACTGTATACCAAGGGCATGAGATCATGTTTCATGTTTCTACCATGTTGCCATATTCCAAAGAGAACAAGCAGCAGGTATGTGTGAACACAACTCTCTGAGAACACACAAACCATGTGTAGTAACCTGAATGTAGAGAGGGCACCATTATGATTCTGTAGAATTAGAGACCATGTATGTTAATATATGAGCTGAACTTCAGCTACCAACTTAGGGATGCTTTTGACAGTCTGTATATTTGAACTTTCAACAGGCCTTAGGAAGAACTATTCTCACTAATTCTGTCACCATAAAAAATCAGTGATAATAGTGTGTATATGTGTTTGTGTGTGAACATGTATATGTGTTAGTATGTGTGTGAGTGTGGGTTTATAGACCCTTTAGAGACTATTTTGTATGTTACCTTTTCTCTGACTTTTCTCAGTGTGCCTGTGTCTTGTCAGAAGGAGACTATCTAGGACGTAGAATAAGTAGATCTTGAGACATGATTGATAAGTGCTGTTTCCAAATTAATGCAGGAGATTAACACTGAGTGTCTGCATGGGCCGTGGCAGGTTGGAAAAAACCTCTACCCAGGACACTCCTCACCCATCCCAGAGGCTGGCCATTTTCAGGAGAAAATTTTCCAATTTGTTAGAATTAGACATAACAAAGACACATGCTGCCAACTTCTGAGGGATTTGGGAGAGTGTCATTTATCTTTTTGAGATTCTTATCCTCTTTTTACCCATTGAAGTCATCTATGTGAATAGATATTACTAATATTATGGACAGTTGTTTAGAAAAGATTTGTGGGAAATATGGACCTACAGAGAGTATGTGATAGGGCTAAAAGATTTTTTCTGAGCACTTAAAATTTTTAGTCCAGTAAAAGGGAAAGACACAAAGCAAATCAGTGGGCTAGAATGTGATATCACCATCATGGGATATGAAGGTGGTTTGGGGACACAATGGGGAAGGGCTAGTTCTATTTGATGGTTTGGGGTCTGGAGTAAGGAGCTGGTGGGTTGTCTCGTGGGCATTGCAGACCCGTGGAGGTCTTAAGCTTGTCCTGGTTTTGGAAGGATAAACTCTGACAAAGTCACGTTGAAGCAGGAAGTGCATAGGCCCAGGAAGACTGCTTAAGTAGCTGAGAATGACTGCAAGGCACCTTCCTTCATGTGGCTAAGATACCAATATTATTGCTACTAGACACCTCGTAGTATTTGAAGCGTTTAGCATCTTGGGATCATATGAAGAAGACAGACAAAGCTGGTCTTCCTAATCCTCATGAAGTGTGTTACGCTCTTACATTTCAACAGTAACACCAGAAAACTTCCACTGGAATATTTTACAATCCTTCCCCCCAGCTCCAACCTTTTCAGCCCTGTACATTCACCAAGATTGCCTGTGTCCTATGACAGATAGGGGCATTAGCCAGAGAGGCAAGAGAAACAGATGTGCCAGTTCAGCCTTTGCCTTGCTCCAAAGTCTTTCTCATCAGAAGGATCATTGCTGACCTCCTCTCTTGGTGGAAGCTGCTAGCATGTCAAGGAGTAACGACATTCACCAGGAGTGCTGAAGCATTCCCAAATGGACCCTGGTGCACTCCACATCTTGGCCGGCTCCATGCATGGTCTGTGTCCTCCACTCACACAGCATCAGTAGATAGGAAAAAAGTCCAAATTGTGAAACTTGGATCTATTACCAGAAAGATAATACAGGTAGGAAGAGACAAAGAAATGCAGAATGATAATGATTCTCTCAGTGCCTAAAGGAGAGCAGAGGACTGATAACCATAAACCTCTTTCTGCCTCTGTCCCAGGTTCATGAGGGCCTAAGATAACAGCCAAAAAGTTAGACACCAGCCTGGATCATAGAATCCGGGGGGCTTTTTGACCTCCTCACATCTAGAACACTAGTGGAACAGTCCAAGCCACATCCTGAATATGATTTAAAGGAGCAGGCCTCCACAAAGATGTTGTGAGTTCTGTAATTTCGTGCATCTGTCCGCTCCTACCTCCATCACTATACCAACCCATAATGGAGACAGAGGGAGGGGTATTGATGTTTGCCTCCCTGGGGCCTCATCTTCTTCCTGATGTCTCTTAAAGTCAAGCACCACCACCATCTTCTAGTCTCCAAGCAGTCCAGACCCTGACACAGCACTTAGTCCAGCATGAAGGCGCATAGGCTTTTAGATCAGAGCCACATGAACAAGCCCTGTGATCCTGGGATGGATGTGCATTGCCGTTACCTGGGCTTCAGTTCTTGGTCTTCTTCCTTTTCCACACTCATTCACTCACTGGATGATCTCATCCAATCTTGTGACTTTAAATAGCTTTTCTATACCAATAATCCTCAAATTTATCTCTTCAGCTGAACCTCTCGCTAGAACTCCAGACACTGTGCAGCCTCCTTCTCGACTCCTCCTCTGGGCAAGACGCCTCAAACCTCATCTGTCCAAAACTGCACTCTCATCTCTCTGTCTCCTCTTCTTCCATCTTTTTTATCTTGGTTGATGCTTTTCTACTTCTTTCTGTTTCTGGGGCAAAATGGCCATGGAATCCCTCTTGGCTTCTCTCATTTTGTCTTATCCCATATTTAGTTTGTTAGGAAATCCTCTGGCTCTCCCTTCAAAATACATCTAAAGTCTGACCACTTTTCATACTTCTCTGAACCACTGTCATCTCTCGAATGGATTACTGCAGTAGCTTCCTATCTGGCCTCCCTGCTTTGACAATCATGTATTGCTTAACAATGGGGATGCATTTTAGAAATTCATTGTTAGGTGATTTTGTTGTTGTGCAAACATCATAGATTGTATTCACATACACTTAGATGGCATAGCTTCCAACACATCTGGGCTGTATGGGGTAGCCTATCACTCTTAGGCTGCAAACTGGTACAGCATGTTACTGTACTGAATACTGCGGGCAATTGTAACCACAATGGTAAGGATTTGTGTGTCTAAACCTATCTAAACATAGAATAGGTATAGCAAAAATATAGTAATATAATCCTACTAGACTACCATCATATATGCCATCTGTCATTGACTGAAACATCATTCTGCAGTGCATGGCTGTACAAACATGTCTCCTGACATGTTTCTCAATCTAGCAGCCAAAGTGATCCTTCCAATGCAAGTCAGATCTTGTCACTTCTCTGAACCCCTCCTGTGGCTCATGCTCCACTCAGGGTAAAAGCTAGAATCTTTCTAATAGCCTTGCAGGATCCTGTCACTTCTCTCACTGCCCACCCCTCTTCTTATTCACTCCATTCTAGCCACATTGGCTTCCTCTCCTGTTGCTTAGAGTTACTGGACACTGTCCCACTCATGGCCTTTGCTCTGCCCTTCCCGCCGCCCAGAGCCCTCCTATCCACCAGCCCCCAGGGGGCTGACTTGCCCACCTTCTCCAAAGCCACTCACATGTGAACTCTGTGAAACTGGCCCTGGTGACCATTTCAACACTGGGGGCGTCGAGTTGCTCTCCTACACCTCCTTCTGATGTGATTATTTCATATGCTTGTCACTCTGCTCGCTGTGTGATTTTGTGCACCTGCCACAGTATAAGTAAGGGTGGGGATTTTTGTCTGCTTTTTTCCTGGCATGGAATAGGAAGAGCTTAATAATTATTTTTTAAAAATACATAAACGCAGGCCGGGCGCGGTGGCTCACGCCTGTAATCCTAGCACTTTGGGAGGCCGAGGCGGGTGGATTGCTTGAGGTCAGGAGTTCGAAACCAGCCTGAGCGAGACCCGTCTCTACCAAAAATAGAAATAAATTAATTGACCAACTAAAAATATATATACAGGCCGGGCGCGGTGGCTCACGCCTGTAATCCTAGCTCTCTGGGAGGCTGAGGCGGGCGGATTGCTTGAGGTCAGGAGTTCAAAACCAGCCTGAGCAAGAGCGAGACCCCGTCTCTACTATAAATAGAAAGAAATTAATTGGCCAACTGATATGTATATAAAAAATTAGCCGGGCATGGTGGCGCATGCCTGTAGTCCCAGCTACTCGGGAGGCTGAGGCAGAAGGATCGCTCAAGCCCAGGAGTTTGAGGTTGCTGTGAGCTAGCCTGACACCACGGCACTCACTCTAGCCTGGACAACAAAGCGAGACTCTGTCTCAAAAAAAATATATATTATATACAAAAAATTAGCCGGGCATGGTGGCGCATGCCTGTAGTCCCAGCTACTCGGGAGGCTGAGGCAGGAGGATCGCTGAGCCCCAGAGATTGAGGTTGCTGTGAACCAGGCTGACGCCACGGCACTCACTCTAGCCTGGGCAACAAAGTGAGACTCTGTCTCAAAAAAAAAAAAAAATACATAAACGCTTATTGAGATATAACTCACATACCATATATACTCACCCTCTTAAAGTGTACAATTCAGTGGGGTTTAGTAATTTCACAATGTTCTCAAGCTATCACCACAATTTTAGAGCATTCTCATTATCCCAGAGAGAAACCCTGTTCCCTTTAGCCACCACTTCTCGGTCCCCCCTGGTGACCTCTAATCTACTTTCTGTCTCTGGACATTTCATATAAATGAAATCATATAATATATGGCCTTTTGTAACTGGCTTCTTGAAATTAGCATGTTTTCAAGGTTCATCCATGTTGTAGCATGAGTCAGTGTTTCATTCCTTTAAGTGCTGAATAATTTTCCATTACATGGATATATACTATATTTTGTTTATCCATTCACCAGCTGATGGGTCAATAATTACTTATTTTTATTGTGGTAAAATATGCATAATGTAAAATTTACCATATTAACCACTTTTAAGTGTACAGTTCCTTGACATTAAGTACATTCTGTGGTGATAGTTGCATAACATCAACTATCACCACCCTCCATCTCCAGAACTTTTTCATCTTCTCAAACTGAAATTCTGTACCTATTAAACAAATAAATCCAAATTTCCCCCAGCCCATGGCAGCTACCATTCTACTTTGTCTCTATGATTTTGACTACTCTAAATGCCTTACAAAAGTGAAGTCATACAAAATTTGTCCTTCTGGCTTATTTCACTGAACCTAATGTCCTCAAGGTTCATGCTTTAAGATTTTATACCTTTTTAAAACTGAATAATGTTCTACTGCATGCATATTCCACATGTTCTTTATCCTTTCACCTGTCAATAGACAATGAGTTGTTTCTGCCTTTTGCCTGTTGTGAATAATGCTGCTGCGAACATTGGTGTATAAATATCTGTTTGAATCCCTGCTTTCAGTTCTTTTGAGCTATGCCCAAATTAAGAATTGTTGCAGAGCTGTGTAGTTTTGAAAAGACCGTGTAGTACACAAAGCTGAAAATATTTACTATCTGGCCTTTTATAGGGAAAAAAAATGCTTACTACAGGTCTAGGAGATCATTTTGGAAGGGTCAAGTGGGGTCAGATTAGGTGGAGCCATTGTTCTCACCAAGTATATGCTTCAGAACTAGCCACGGCATTTATAGAAATATACAGGTTTGCACCCCATCCTCCAGGAATCCTGACATGTGCCTCTTGTTAGGGAACCTTGAAATGGTAGCCTAAGAAGTGATGAGCGAAGGTACACACGATCAGAGCAGGCAGACTGGGAGAGAATGGAGGCAAGGAGGCTAGGTAGGAGGTTTCTGTAGACAGGTAAACAAGAGGAAATGTGGGCCTGAGTTAGGAGAAGAGTAGGGGAGATGGGCTGGAGGGTCTGGAGACTAGGCTATAAAACAGGGGAGACAAGAAGTCAAAGATGTCTGACGTCTGGCGCCTTGTGTTGGTGGCTATGGTTTGTCATGTTGGGGTGTTTTTTCACTCTGTACATGCCATATTTGAGAGCCTTTCTCAGTGACGTCATTTATGCTCACTGCAGGTGGAAAGGAAGCGCCACATTGGAAACGATATCGTCACCATCGTGTTCCAGGAAGGAGAGGAATCTTCTCCTGCCTTTAAGCCTTCCATGATCCGCTCCCATTTTACACGTATCCAGGGCTGTTGTCAGTGCTCCGGGGTAGCAAGCTATTGGTCAGCCTCACTGGACTTCAAATGATCCTCAAATCAAATGTTATAAATGACTTGTTTTGCATTGCTAGATTCTTAGACCTACTTTTTTGGATTTTTTTTCTAAGCATTGTATTTTTCCCTTTTCTTCTCTCCATCCATTGCAATAGCAGATGGATGAATTCTCAACTCCTGAAATACGTTCCCTTTCCTCAGATAGTTTATGAGATGAGGGAAACTTACTGCCATCCATCAATAATAAATGATTTAGAAGAATTATAGATAGTGAATCCTCTGAGAAATTTGCTCTAGGTATAAAAACTTACAAGTTAAGATAAAAGACCAAAAGGATATTCTTGTTGATTCTAAGCCCTGGTAAAATTAAATAACTACTGTATTATCATCTCTTGAAATGTGAGAAATGATTGAATTAATAGTATTTTTTATCTGCTTCCTCTAAACCCTGTTCAGGTCATATCACTGGCACTGTCCAATGATGGGGCTGAAGTTCCCTGTGGTACCTGAGCTCGGCTCCGCTAGGGAGGCATGGGGCGTGAGCTTGGCCAGCCCTGCAGACACTCAGTCATGGCCCTGGTGCTTTGGGTCATGGGCCATGACAGTGAAACCCAAAGGTGGTGACTCTGCAGGTTGTACATCATAAGTAAAAGGCAACAAATAGGCATTTTCAGAATAAATTCTGGGCTAGTTATTCATGTTCCCTGGAGACATCAGTAAACACATTTGAAGACAGGACAGTATTATTGCATCTGGATACTTGGATTTGTTCCTTATAACCTAACAATATAGCATGGAAATGAAAAGTTAAAAATTTCCAAATTTCTTTCATAAGGGTAGGGAAGAAAATGATATGCACCTACACGTTCATTATGATTTTCTTCCGTTCTCATCCCTGCCTAGTAAGTAATGACTTCCCCTGTTCACTGGGATTTAGGACTAAAATTTGCCCTTTCTGGAGCTAGTTCTTCTTGGAGAACAGAAAACTTCTCCAAGTACAGAGTGGGAGGGGAAATGAGGTGACTTTTTCAGTGACTGAGAGGTAGTCATTATTTTTTAGAACTTTTCCGAGTTATAAGTTTTAGATTTGGGGCTTGGCACCTTTGTTTCTAAACAGGGACAAGCAAGTAGTTAATGCAGATTCACTCCACTGAGCCTAGATCTGGAGGCCCAAGGGCATGATGGCCTTGTAGCCTGAACTAAGGATAACTAGGGGTGGGAGACAGTAGGTGGAGGTAGGGGACAAGGAGGAAGAAGAGCGGGAGAAAGAAAGACACTAGATAAAGGTAGTTGTGCTATTTTAGGCTGGGTGAGCCCCAGCACAAGCAAAGTAGATTCTGCTCAGATGCTGCCACCAGCTACATTGGCCTGTTTTGTTTTGTCTACCAAAGCCAGGAGGAAAGTGGAGGGAAGGTGCACAGTGGAAACATTTAAATTGCTTTCCTTTTCAAAACATGTGAGATGAAATATATGATTAGTTTCATACTGGGATTGTGTTTGTATTTCCACACAAGGGAATTGCTATTTTGCTTTGTTGGCTGCTTCCTTGTTTAATAACTATATTTATATTGCTTTTCTGACAGCTTTGGAGATTTAGCCCTCTCCCCAAAGGATGAGCACACAGACTTTGAACGTAGTCATGGTGCCGTCACATGGGTCTTCCTGGGCTGTGTCTTGTAAAAAAGTCAAGGTTCTGTCCAACCTAAGAGCGCTTGGTGCCCTGACCACAAAAGTGCTGGTCAAGAGTGATTCTGCCCGAGGGGTTTTCAAAGCACAAGTTGTCAGTTGTGAGCATCAGCATTGTTGATTAATTTCCTTAACCCTCACCACAGATATTTTTGCCTTAGTGAGGTACGACCAACAAAATGACAATTACAGGTAGGTAATGACTTTATCTCACTTGCTTGTTCTGATTCTCCTGTTTACTTGTTAATTTGGCATTGCTTTTATGAGGCTCTCAACATACATATTTCTCAATTAATTTAATATGCATGCCCTCACCTTACAGAACTCTCTTCAAGACCATCGTCTCTTTAGGAAAAATTTACTTCAGATGGTGTCACTCTGCAGTAGACCCAAGAGTCAGAGTTAGTTTAACATTTTATTGTACTTTACGATGAGAACAAATTTAATGTTTGATTTTGACAAGAATATCCTCTTTCCTAGACTGCATTCTTACCTGTTTATCCTTCTGTTCTCAAATATTAATCTGTTAAAAGCTGTCACAATGTGGTAAAAAGAGCATGAACTTTGAGCCAAACAGATTTGGGTTCAAATCTCAGCTCTGTCACTTATTAATTTGGAGGCTTTGGAAAAAGGTGTTTATCTTCTCGGAGCCTCAAGCCTCCTGTGTAGAATGAAGGTATTGGTACTACCCTGGCAGGTTTGGTGAGCGTCAGAGTCAAGCTGTGTCTTAAAATGCCAAGTTTGCTGTCTGGTGTGCAGAGGGTGCTTAGTTGTGGCCACTGCAGTTCTTCCTGCGGTACCTGAACTTGTCCACACCTTGGTGAGTTGGACCATAAAGAGTTCAGGAAGACCTAGCCTCTGCCCTAAAGGTACATTACTAAGCTCGAAAGGAGAGTAGGGTGGTGGCCTCAGCTATGGAAGCCCAGAGAAGACATTCCTGCTATGGGATGAATATTCCTAACACATCCCATAAGTGACTGGACAAATTGAAGGGCAAAATAGGCTCAGCTTAGTGTTCTTTGAAGAAAAACCAATTAATTCTGGAATGTTCTCTACATAGGCTGAAAATATTTTCAGAAGAAAGTGTACCACTCTTTGGCCCACCCTTGCCATCCCCACCGGTGTTTACAGACCACCAGGAATTCAGGGACTTTTTGCTAGTGAAATGTAAGTTCTGTTTTGAAATGTTTTCACAACTTGTTCTACATAGGAATAAATTTCTTCAAATTCTCCCAGGATGCTGTATAAGAAAATGTCATTGTTTAAGTGTTCCATGTTCTGTTAATTCTTTATACAACATGCATTTAGTTTTCTGGGGTTGGTGTGCTGGTTTTCTCCTGTGTCCTCATCTTCACCTACCATCCCATCCACCTCTCTTGAGGTTTCCCCACACTCACCCACTCAGTACCATGGGATCTTAAATTGGATTTCTGCCCTGTGTTCTGAGGCTCTGCTTATACATATATCTGTGTCTTTGCCAGAGAGTGAGATGTAGGTAGGGGAAAGAGTGGTGTTGGATATACTTAGGGATAGGGAGAGTTGTTGGGGAATGTGTGTGTATATGCTGTGCACATATGTGTGCATTTACATACACATGTGAGAGAGAGAGAGAGACAGGATGAGACTATGATAGATATAGAACCTGACCACCCCAAGCATCACTAACTGGTGAGCACATATTTTAGTTTCACTGATAATACCAAATACCTGACTCTGAGCCCCATCTCCTAAACCACAGGAGCTCTGCCTCAGCCCTCCCCAGGGTATCCCTTGGTATTATATCTGGGAGTCCCATGATGGGACTGTATCACTGGTGATCAGGAACAAGTTGCTAAAGTTCATCTGCTACAACCTCTTCATGGAGGGTCAGCCTGCCAGCTCCAGGCCCCAGCAGGGCCACTCAACCTGTGCCCTCTGTGAAGCTGCTGCTTTCTAGCCTCCCACCAGGCACACTGGGCATCACAGCTGCTTTGCTGTCTCCTCCCATCCCTGCCTCCTCTCCCCACCCCACGTGTACAGTCTTCACCTGATTCCATCACTGTTGCTACATGGCTTTGGAGCATTTGGAAATGCTGCTGTCCTCTGCTATCACCCATCCTGGTCACCAAGCACCAAGGTAGCACTGATTGAGTCAAAGCCTCACCAAGTCCCCCGTGGACAACTGCCCCTCGGCTTCTAGTCTTAATCCTACTTTAGGATTGGCCCAAACCAGTCCCTCAGGCCAGGGCAAGGGACTGTCACATGTTGTCCTTCCTTTGTCTTCCTGTCTCCCCAGCATCTCCTTCATAGCCTTGCACACAACTCCTCCTTCAACAATAGCACAAAATGCCATGTTTCTCTACCCCTGCAGTCGACACTCGAAGGGATTCCAATCACCAAAACATCCCCATCTCAGCCGAGCCACTTTAACTTCTCTTCCCTTCCCTCTGTAAAACCCTCCAGTCCCTTGCAAAGATCCCCGCATGCTTCCACACCTTTCCTCTGGAGAACAGCTGTGGCACCTTTACCGGGGCTCCCTCTGCTTCCCACCTGGGCCACTGGAGTTGTTACCTCCTACACATCAAGCCATGCCAGGGTCTGTGGGCAGTGTATTCTCCAGCACAACAGAGGCAGCAGACTCTGCAAACCACGTGCAAAGTGATGATTTTCTCTCTTCCTTTCCATTTCTTTACCCCTTATTTCAAATACGAGAACAAGGTACCCAACTTAAATGTCTAGAAAAATGGGCGGGGAACATGAATGAGTGAAGCAGGAGGAGTGGAAGACAGTCGGGTGATGGGCACATGTGCCTGCTCCAGCCACTTGATGCCTTTCAGAGCAAGGGCCCAGTGTTGCCAGATATTCTGAGTTTTCAAAACAAGCCAGAAAGCTGAAACTCTGTGTGAAGCTGCCCAAGTCTTAAACTGTGTGGTCCATGTGTTTCAAGTCCAAAGGATCAGTTACAGAGCAAGAAAGCAGATCTGAAACAAAGAGCAGCAATAGAAAGTAGGGTGCTACTTTCTGGACGCTAAAAGGGTCTTGGTGGCACGGGTTCAGGGCATCAGCATTCTCTGTAGAGGGCCCGTAGCAGGGAAGGGGCCTGTGACCAAAGATTAAGGATCACTCAGCAACACTGAGGACACAGCTTTTAAGTAGAATCCATCCATTTAAAGGAAGCCAGTCAACAGAGTGACTTGGAGTGAAGTGAAACAAAGGGACTAAAGTTGGACTTCAGTTGGACTAAAGTTGAAGATTTGAAAGGTAGAAATAGCAGAAGAACATGGGCTTAAGTGACTGAAGGTGATGGAGAGAGAGTGTAAGTGGTGGAGCGTGGGTCCCAGAGGGACCCGAAGGGGTGGTACCTTGAGTAAATAGGCAGCAGCCCAGGGATCGGAAGGCTCTGGGAATTCTAAAGTGGATGTAGCAGGAGGGAGGAAATAGGTAAGATAGAAAACTGCAAGATAACAGGAAATGGCATTTCAAAAAAAAAACAAAAAACCTGACCTTTTCCCTTTATTCAGCCAAACAAGGCATCTAAGATGGATTTTTCTGAAGTACCAAGGAGCACATACCCTCAAACAAAAAATTCACAGTCACAGAATTGTAGAAAATAATAGACATGCATAGTTTAAATTCTGTGAGAGATGTCTACATATACATACATGCACACAAGCCCAGTTTGCCCCAGCACACAGATCCTTTCTAGGAAATGCCTGTCCCCAGGGAGTTCCATTTTTCAGTCTGTCAACATTGTCCTTGCCTTAGCCCCCTGTATGAGAAATATAATAGTTAATGTTTATTTAATATTATTAGCACTGTGCTAATTCATTTTTATTTTTTTTTAGAGACAAGAGTCTCACTCTTTTGCCCGGGCTAGAGTGTCATGGCATCAGCCTATTTCACAGCAACCTCAAACTCCTGGGCTCAAGCAATCCTTCTGCCTCAGCCTCCCTAGTAGCTTGGACTGTAGGCATGCGCCACCATGCCCAGCTAATTTTTTCTATACATTTTTAGTTGGCCAATTAATTTCTTTCTATTTTTAGTAGAGACAGGGTCTTGCTCTTTCTCAGGCTGGTTTCAAACTCCTGACCTTGAGTGATCTGCCCGCCTCAGCCTCCCAGAGTGCTAGGATTACAGGCATGAGCCACCGCGCCCGGCCTGTGCTAATTTTTTATATGTATTATCTCATTTGTATTACAACATTCTCATAAGGAAATATGATTATATTCATTTTTACAAGGTAGAAAACTGGGGCCCCAAGAAGTGAAATAATTTTCTTTACAATACATAGCTGGCAGCAGAGCTAGGAGCCACATCCATAACTGTCTTGACTTCAAACTCCTAACCTCTATTATACCCTTCCTGTTCTGTGCTTTCGTGTATAACTGGGCATTCCACTTTATTGGCTCTTAATGTCTGTGGTCCACTAAAACCTCCGCTCTAAACCAGCCTGAGCAAGAGCAAGACCCCGTCTCTACTATAAATAGAAAGAAATTAATTGGCCAACTAATATATATAGAAAAAATTGGCCAGGCATGGTGGCACATGCCTGTAGTCCCAGCTACTCGGGAGGCTGAGGCAGCAGGATTGCTTGAGCCCAGGAGTTTGAGGTTGCTGTGAGCTAGGCTGACGCCACGGCACTCACTCTAGCCTGGACAACAAAGTGAGAGTCTGTCTCAAAAAAAAAAAAAAAAACCTCCACTCTTTTCCAGAAGCAACTTCCATTAGGCTAAGAATCCTAGTACTCTGCTAAGACAGAAAATTGTTATTTTTTTCTAGCAAAATGCAGAAAATATATATTTAATCCCACTGAATGGCCTCCTGGTGGTTTGGCCCTGTGTGTTGGCTGGGCAGGTGGGTGGATGGTAGGAATGGGTGGGTTGATAGGTGGGTATAAAGCTACAGAGGTCTTTAGGTAAAATGAAAAGCTTGCAGCCCAACAAGAAAGGTAAGATAGTTGTTCCTATGGACTGTATGGATCTGTGTAGCGAAATCTAGAGTTTTTAATCATTCTCCAATGAAGGAAAGGTAACACCAATAACAGTACCAGTATTAGAAAGGTGGGTAGCATTCACTTTGAGGCATTTCCTTGAGAAGAACATTCTTCAACAGCTGTTAATGTTGTACTTCTCTTTTTAACTTGGTTTATTTTAGTAATTAATGGTGAAAAAGCCACTTTGGAAACCCCAACATTTGCCCAGAAACGTCGGCGTACACTAGATATGTTGATTCGATCTTTATACCAGGATTTGATGCCGGATTTGCATAAGGTAACTCTGGATCCGAGGTCTTCTTCCCTTCTCGTGGGGCCTGAGTTGAAAACACAAGTCCTAGCAATGAGGTTCTGGGTAGAAAAGCACAGGAATTGCCTTGATCCTTGCAATCAAGACTGTGCTATGGCCACCATAAGCTGGCATTCTCTCATTGTGACCACAAGAAGGGGGGACGTTGGGTTTCCATATATAGGAATGTGATTTTCATAAAGCCAGGGCTGTGGAAATCTAGGTGCAGGTGGGGGCAGGGCAATGGGTGTCAATCCGCAACCCCTGGAGAGCTTTTTTGGGTGGCTGTCCTTGGTGAGACAGCCAGTGCCATGGCTGGTAGGTAGGCAAAAATGGGGATTGTGGAGAGAGATGGGGGGTTTCAAATTTTCTGGAGATTTACTGGCTAGCCCCATATTCAGGCACTAACACAAGCATTTTTATTAATTGAAAAGCCACTTTTGCCAGACACTTCCTAGACTCAAGGTGTATCCACACTGATGACACCCAGCAAAACCTTCCTGTCACCTCCAGGGGTGCATGTGCTCTTTGGAAGCCTCTAAAATCAGTGTCGTTAATGCAGAGTAAAATCATTGTTTAAAAACATTTTCCAATTTAACAAGGCAACCCAGAACAAGTGGGGAGACTCCCCTGCAATCCATGCATTCATAAACCCCAGTAAAAGTATTGCTAATGATGTGTGTACGTAACTGAAGCACCAGGTGTCAGGTGCTCACCCAGGGGAGATGTAGAATATCAAAATGAGCTAGTGCTCATTAGTCCTTTCCCCTTGGCACGGTGACCGGCACCATTTTGTAGGCACCCCTTAACTTCTGACTCATCAGTGCACCCCAAGAACTTGCAGGGATTGGGCCACGCTGACCCCAGGATCCTAAAGAGCAAACTTTAGTTGGTAATCTGTCAATTCCTGTTTTTCCCTAAGGTCAAGGAAAAGTATAGAGAGGGTACCAAGATAAGTCCTTCATGTGTCAGCTGAAGCATCACTGCCTTAGCCAGGCTTCCCCAGCACCCCCCAGTTGAAGGCAAGTCCCTTGTTAGGTATTCTGATATACCCCACACACTTCCCTTCATAGCAATGATCACACGTGCTAATCATGTCATTAGTTACTTAATCTGTCTCCCCACTAGACTCTCTGCTCCACAAGGACAGAGACCACTATCACATTCCCCAAATCTGGCAGAGTAGGAGGTGCTCAGTCAGTACTACCTGATTGAATGAGTACACCTCATTCTCTGTGGTTTGGAAGAGAAATAAAATTTACTGAGTGTGCACCAAGCACTGTGCTAAGCACCTTACATGCTTAGCATGTTACATTATATCTTTTAAGCCCCATAACACACCTAGGAGACAGGTATTAAGAAACAGAGACCTGAGACTCAGAAGTTAACTACTTGCCCAAGGTAGCCCACAGGGCCACAGAGTTGTACAACTCTAGGGGTGCCATTCTCATAGAATTCAGTATGTGTGTTCTGGAGCATACCATTCTATGACTCCTGGAGCTGTGCAATGTGGGGGCCCAAGTCACACCGTTAGTTAGTTGGTAAGTGATGGAGCTGCAGGTCTGCTGGGTTTCAAAGCCATGTTCCCAGCATCACAGCACTGGCCCTCCACCTGTTGGCTCTAATCCCTAGTGTTTGGCAGGACCCTGGCACGTGGCAGGTGCTCCATCAGTGCTTGTTAAGTGAACAAATACAGAAGGGAGAAACAAGACCATTTGGACAAATAGGTTTGTGCATTAAGAGAAGCCAAAGGATAAGATTTAGCAACCATTTGTGGAATTCATAACTTGTTTTTCTTTTTTAGAACATGCTTAATAGACGATCTTTTAGTGATGTCTTGCCGGAGTCGCCCAAGTCAGCACGGAAGAAAGAGGAGGCCCGCCAGGCAGAGTTTGTTAGAATAGGGCAGGTGGGTTTTATTCTGAAACCTTTTCTGCAAGACATGTAGTTTTGAGTCCCATCCAAACCAGATGGCCCACGTGCAAAGACTTTTATGTTTGCTGTAGGAGCTCTGTAATTTCTCTAAGGACTGTTGTGGAAATCACGAGAGAGAGAGAGTTTTGAGAACTAGATACATGTAGTTCTCTGCAGGTGTCACTGAGAGAGCAGCCCTCTGCAGAGATGGGAATGCTACTGCCTTGAAGCAAGTGGCCACAGGGCCCAGCTCTGGGCTCCTCTTGTCAAATGGAGTACGGACCACTTGCCTACCTCCTAGGAATTTTCTAAAGAGTGGGGAGCCAATTTGGGACGCACCTTGAACCCATCCCTGGCAAGAGGAAGCACAGAGTGTCTGTGGCACTTACAGAAGACCTGAAGTGCCACCCTGTTATTGGGAGCAGTCATCGCATTTAGGTGGCAGCCAGTCATCCCCTTATTCTAGGTGTTGGAGGAAAACACTCTCCCTTTCCTCACTCCCACATGACACTAGTATTTCTCAGTTCCAGCAGACAAAGCAACTGTCTGTCTTGATCCCACATCACAGCAGGGAGAAGGGGGAGTGCTGTCAGCTGCAGATAAGATTCTGGCCGGAAAGTAGAGCAGGTGGAGGGAGAAAGGCCCTGCAGTCAAGGGAAGCTTAGAGGCAGATATAGCGTTTTCCCAAAACAGGTGTGTTACTACAGGGCTCTCAACCATTGGTCCCTGTTTAAAGATACCCAAACTCCCAGAGATTCTGATTCACCAGGTTTGAGGAGGGACCTAGGAGTCTGTATTTTTTAATGCTCCCAGTTTAGGAATCACAATACTGATATATTGATACATGAAAATGACAGAGTGTGTTTGGGGTAGTTTGGGCTGAGACATTGTCATTAGGGCTTCACCATATCTGGCTTACTTCATTCCTTACCTTCAATAATAAGTCAGTAAAGAAACCTGAAACTTGATCTGAAATTACTTCTGCTTTATTAATTTTTTTTCAAATCACAATTGTTTACCTGCTATTCTTCTACTGCTCAATGATGAACTTTAATAGAGATCTCTGTTCTGTAAGGCACTAAAACTGAAATCCATTGTGAGAGGTGATGCTCCATCAAGCTTGGCAGCTTCAGGGATCTGTAAAAAAGAGGTGAGTTGGTGATACTTTCAAATTGAACTGTGAATGTCCTTTGTCTTCAATGAAATTATTGAGATTCTTGGAAAAAGCTTTGTGGGCAGAAGGAAGAAGAGCTTGTCTACTTCAGAGTCCTCAGGGGAGGCCCTAGATAAGGTTGAGTAGCCTTCGTATTTCTGCAGTATGCACATGCCTTTGCCTGCTTAACTGGAGCGGAGCTGCTGGACCAGGCCTGGTCAGGCAGGCTTGGTCCCTCAGGGCCTCTCAAGCTTCAAGTGTGTACATAGCACCTGGACATCTTGACCAGTAGAAATGCAAAAATGCATTTTTGATCTCGTAGAACTGGGGTAGGGTCAGGAGTCTAGTTGCTAACCCGCTTGTATGTGGTTCCTGTGCTGCTGACCATGGACATACTTTAAACAGCAAGGCTCTAGAGCAGTGTTTCTCAAGCTTTGGCGTGTATTGGAGTCACCCCACAGAGTTTCTGATTCAGTAGGTCTGGGGGATGGGGCCTGAAAGTTTGCATTTCTAACAGTTTTGCAGGTGATGCTGAGACTATGGGTCAGAGGACCACAGTTGAGAAACCACTGTTTAATCTACAGTTCACTCAGCCAGCCAAAAAAATGTGGCCTATCTATTTATAATACTTCCTGTTTCTACTTTTCATGGAAAAAAAACTAGGTGATAATCAAGACTAGAACAGAAAAAAATAAGTTGCAGTATGAACTTGTTATATGCGTGATTTTGTATTGTAAAACAATACCCCATGTACTTAATTACATCTATGTTCAGAATATGTTAAAGTTAGTTAAATGGAACAGATTCACAAATAGTACATCACCAGAGAAGTGTTCACTATAGAAGCAAAAGAATTATGAATACATTTACTTTAGTGATAAAGACATAGATGATGTGAGCCTACATGCTTTAATGTCTGGTTTCAGGAAAATGATGGGCTCAAAATACAATTAACCCTAAAAGCCACAACCAACTTAAGACTGTTGGCAAAGCATCCTTTCCAAAGATTGTAGAAATTCTCACTATCTGCTCGTTCCTATGCACAGTAGGAATTTGCCGTGTTTCCAAGCACTTTATAAATACCATATTCCAATAAGATTAATAAGGTTCTTTTTTTTTTTTTTTGAGACAGAGTCTTACTTTGTTGCCCAGGCTAGAGTGAGTGCCATGGCATCAGCCTAGCTCACAGCAACCTCAAACTCCTGGGCTCAAGCAATCCTGCTGCCTCAGTCTCCCGAGTAGCTGGGACTACAGGCACGTGCCACTTATGCCGGGTAATTTTTTCTATATATATATTAGTTGGCCCATTATTTCTTTTTATTATGTAAGAGACGGGTCTCGCTCTTGCTCAGGCTGGTTTGAACTCCTGACCTCGAGCAATCCGCCCGCCTTGGCCTCCCAGAGTGCTAGATTACAGGCGTGAGCCACCACGCCCACTAATAAGATTCTTAATAAGAATTCTGCCGGGCGCGGTGGCTCCACGCCTGTAATCCTAGCTCTCTGGAGGCCAGGCGGGCGATTGCTCGAGGTCAGGATTCAGACCAGCCTGAGCAAGATCGAGACCCCGCTCTCTACTATAAAATAGAAAGAATTAATTGGCCAACTAATATATATACAAAAAATTGCTGGCATGGTGGCGAATGCCTGTAGTCCCAGCTACTCGGAGGGAGGCAGGAGGGTTGCTTGAGCCAGGAGTTTGAGGTTGCTGGAGCTAGGCTGACGCCATGGCACTCACTCTAGCCTGGGCAACAAAGCAAAGACTCTGTCTCAAAAAAAAAAAAAAAAAAAAAGAAGTTCTTAGGTGTACATTAAAAACAACAGTCTGTGAAACCATAACCTGTTCACTGGGAAACAACAAAGAGCAACCTTCCCTGTTGGGTCAGTCCATAACCTGCCAGTGGGCCACTGGCCACACATGGAGAAACACTGCTCTAGAAGATGCCAAGAGCTGTTGTGCAGTTGGCCCTGCAGAGGCCAGAGTCCCACATGCTGTTCCCAAGAGTGTTCTGTTTCCAAATTGGGCTTTGTCACCCCTGTTGCCATCCATCATTTATTCAGAAGAGCTGTGTTGATGCTGTTAGAGGGAGCCCAGAAGAGTCTGTGCTTAGGCAGGAAGGCCAGAAAACCACATTCTTGCCCTGCAGAATCTGTACTAAGCCTCTCACATGGCAGAGGGGGTCTAGGGCAATGATAAATGCCATTGGTCCTCAGACCAGAGCCTCCATGGGGCCAGATCTGAGTTCGTTGCTGACACTTTCTGCCCCAATGTTCAGTAGTTCCTCAGACCCCACATACTTCCCAGCACCTTGAGAACTCATGAGAGCAGTGGTCACCCATACACACATCAGCCCATTAAAATGTTCAAATGGCACATGCACACAGCATTTTGAATACAATCTATGGGGTTTCATAGACCTCCTTAAGCCTCCATGGATCCTCTGTTGCCTTTGGATCTTTTGAGGGAAGAAGTCCTTTCTGCACTTGTGTCCTCTGGTCAGAGAACATATTGTTATTAAGAGTTGGTTGTTCTGTCTTGGTCCTACCTAATGCTGATGTCTATGTCTGTCTCCCTACTGATGTTTCTATTAGCTTTGCATTTTAATATCCTCTTGGCATAACTCACAAACTCGGAATTTCCAGAAATCTTCTTGGCGAAATGCTGTTTCAATTAATGGCCTGCACTTGTGAGGCCTTTTGGTTTATAAAATGTTTTCACCTTCTTTAGGTGATCTTTTCAGAACAGTATAAGTACAATCTAACAGAATATTCTTTTTGAGGCTATGGGTTTCCTCAAAGGAGAGCATACTTTTCTTTTCAGAGACAGCAATAATGCACACAGTATTTACCCTCAGCCCTAATGACAACTCAAAGGTAGTCCACAGAGCCTTTCGCTTCTACTGCGAGTATAGCATGTATTCATGGGTACCTATGAACACGCACACACGTGCACACACAGACTCCTCTGCAAACACAGGTAAGACACATCAGGCCATTATGTCTGATTAAGAATAAAAGTGAAGGTATAAGATGTCAGTGTGTCATCAAGAATCTCTACAAACTTCCCTTGTCCTTTAAGGCTAAGCCAGGTGCTTTGGAGGGACGTTAATGATCCTGTTGAAAATGTCCACAATTGTGGTGTGACTAAGATCCCAGCAAACAGTGCCTGCTGACTCCACGCAACCACACACAGCTGTGAGGGAGAGCTCATTCCTTATGCCTGAAATGAAAATGAAACCAAGACTCAAGGGAGAGTTCATGTGGTGTTTATATGTCACGTGGGGGAACCTGAGCATTTTGTCGGCATCTCTTGCCATTCTACAAACAGATGTTATATTTTCTTTAAGATTTTGTAGCCATGTGTGGGTCAATAGGCATTTTCATGTTAAGGCAATATCAACTTCTTAATGCATTATATATGGTTTCATAATTTGCTGAATCAGCAACACAGGAATCTGACTTTTTTAATAGAATTATGTGGGACTTCCTTTCATGATGAACTAATGTAAATTCTCTGAAAAATAGGCACCATTTGGCTCAACTCCCAGGTGTTAAAGAAAAATGTTTGCTTAAAAAACATTACCAATGCTTCAATTACCCCTGAGGAACATTATCATAGAGACAGGCTGTGGTGCCAGAAACATGTGAATTCACTCTTTCTATTGCATGTATTCAAAAGGAGACTTATCTTCTTAAGAAAGGTAACTGAATCCAGACCCCAGGGTTTGGAATCACTCTGCTCCCACGGGGGTATCTGTGTTTCTGCTTCAGGTGTGGTACTGTACGTTTCCATTTGATGGGCTGCAGTGTATTTTTTCCGGTGCACTTATTTTCCGATGCTTGTATTGCCTCGCAGCCTTGGGAGCCCCAGTGTTTCTGCAGTAATTTCCCTCACGAAGCCGTGTGTGCAGATCCCTGGGGCCAGGCCTTGCTGGTTTCCACTGATGCTGGCGTCTTGCTAGTGGATGGTTAGTGAGTAGCTGCTCCTACAAATGTCTCTTTTATGTAACATGTAGTACTTCTAAGATGAGTAATTGCCAATCAACTCCCTTTGGACCATACATGTGCGGTCTGCAGAGAGGTTAGCAAAGTTTCATTTCCTTATAAAATTAAACCCTTGTTTTCAGGGCAAGCAGAAGAAATATATTCTGAACCAAGCATGCTGGAGGGTGGGCCACAGGTTCATCTCTTCCTGAAATCTCTGATTAGTCTGTGGATATCAAAAGACCTGCAAAAACAATCTTTTATCTCCTTTTCCACCAATACTTATCATGGTTCTAGCATTTTACTTTAAATCAACAAGGTTACATTATTTAGAGCCACTATCTCAGGAACATGTAAAACAAACAAAAAAGATTTCTGATTCAAAAAGTACTTGGTATCAAAAAAACGCTAAGAATCTTAGATAATCCTTTTTTTTTTTTTTTTTTTTAGGTCTCGCTTTGTTGCCCAGGCTAGAGTGAGTGCCATGGCGTCAGCCTAGATAACAGCAACCTCAAACTCCTGGGCTCAAGCAATCCTGCTGCCTTAGCCTCCCGAGTAGCTGGGACTACAGGCATGCGCCACCATGCCCGGCTAATTTTTTCTATATATATTATTTGGCCAATTAATTTCTTTCTACTTATAGTAGAGACGGGGTCTCCCTCTTGCTCAGGCTGGTTTTGAACTCCTGACCTTGAGCAATCCGCCCGCCTCGGCCTCCCAAAGTGCTAGGATTACAGGCTGTGAGCCACCACGCCTGGCCTGATAATCCACTTTTGATGGATATAGAAACAAAAAAGATTTTGACAGGGAGACAGATTTCAACTCTATAAAATTATACTTTCTGGCAGCCAAGTAGCTCGGGCTGCCTGGGGAGGTAGTCAGTTCTCTGTCAGCACAGATCAGCCACCGTGGGCCGTGCCCTTGGTGAGGATGCTATAGAGGGAGTACAGCTCCAGAGAGGGAGTTGCACTCAAGGACTGTGTGGTCCCTTCCAGCAGGAGGCCCCTTGGATTGTTCCATACTCCTCATGAATGACAAAGGAGCTAAACACTGGTAGCAGGTTGTCTCCTGGGGCTTCAATGGGAGCCACAGGCAGAGAGACAGTGTCTTCAAAGGGCACATCCTCAGACCGCACAGAAGCAGCTGCCCAGGCTCTGGTTACCATAGTGACATTTTATGAGCATCCTAAAGCCACCACTGTGAGAATGGCAATAATGGCCCAAGACTGCAGCATCTTCCCACCCTTCAGCACAACCTTTCCTCCCTCCTTCAGACCCATACTCAGAGCATTTACTAAGTGCCTGCTGTGTGCCGGGGCCTGTGCTAGGGGCCTCCTATAATGTGACTAGTGAGGTGAGCCATGCTTTATAATGGATCTGTTTCTGACTTTATCTGTTATTTTTATATGTTTTAATTGTGCACCCATGATGCCATTGTACCTATAACTAGCTTAATAAAAGGCAGATAATTTAAAATTCATAAAGTCAGAATTTAAATACTTAATTGTCAAAACTATAAAACAACTTGAAACTCTGTATTCTTGAAGAAAACTCAACCTCTCTGAGCCTTGGCTTTCTCTAAAGTGAAGGTAATTTTTTAAGAGGCAAAAAAATAGTTTATGACAATGAAAAATGGTGAAATACATGGGGATGATGACCATAACTACAAGGAGGGAATTAAAGGGATTAAATATAGTTACCAGTCGTAAATGTTTACACAGCATCTGACTCACAGTGGTAACTTACTAAACAGTGGCTATTATCTTTACTATGTCCCTCTGAACTTGCTAAAAAGTAACAAAATCCTTAGATTGTACCAGAAGTACAACCAAAGAAATGAATTTATTGAAAAAATAATAAAAACAGACCTTAGAGGCTGTTGGTTTTATAGATGAAGAAACTGAGGCCTGAAGAAATGATGAGACTTCCCCAAGATCACACAGCTAGCTAGTGGCACTTCTGGAACTAGAACCGAGATGTGATTCTAGTCCAGTGCTCTTTCCACTAAACCAAGTACAATATATTAAAATTAAATTCTACCAATGTTTTTGTCTTTACCTTAACACATATTTCTAAAAATATAGTCCTGAGCAATAATTATGAAAAATATTGTGATTAAAAGAATATTAAATCCTTCTCATTTGCCTTTTAGGAAAGAGAAAGCATGCTTCATAGTGATTATTTGTAAGCCTGCCTAAAAGCAAAAAAATTCCATTTGAATTGCTTCTATTTTTTTTAATGTAAAATCCAAGCCAAGCTTACCAAGTCCCTTTCTGAAATTTTTATTGTTATGGGTCCAAAATTTAATAGAGGTGTGAGATATAAGGATTATTGTGATTTGCCAGGAAATCCTTCTCTTCCAAATTTGAAGGAAGTCATCTTCCATGGGTGGTAGCTGTGCACACCCACCACCAGCTTAGATTTATTACTCAGGTTATTTTTTTGGTGTCCTGATTACAATGATGCTCCCTGTTTGTTTTTGCTAAAAAGGAGAATAACTCTTAAGACTTTGTTTGTATTCCTTGTTGTGCTTTTAAGCCATAATTCTCTTTTTATTTCTTTGTTTACCTTTTTCTTGTCTACACTTAATCATATTATGAATTGTTTCCATGAGTGAATCTGTCCATTTTGTTCCAGGCTGAATTCCACTCTAGCCCATTAGCCTTTGCTTAATTTTATTAGACTTACCCTTGAGAGTCTACTCCTTTCAAAGTCATTATTAAAAATCAAGACCTTTTGTATTCTAAGTTAACAAAACCTACTTTGAAAGAAGACTAAATACTGATTACATATGCTATCACCATGTGTTTGGGTTTTGCAGTAATAGAAAAGCCAGTTCTAAAAGATTGTTTCTTTATAAAGAGATTACAAGAAGGAAAAATTTGTTAACAAACCGTCATTAAAGCCACATGTCACTCTCATGTCCTTGCCACCTCTTTCTTCTTGTGCTGTATATAAACCTATTCAGCCACCTGAAAAGGATTTGATGGAGAATAAATGCTAATTTACTCTATACACAGCTTGGCGGCTACACAGTATACCTGTGTTTTCAAGGTAAAGTGTATGGCCTCTGTCATTTATTAATGCCTTACAGTGCTGCTGCTTCTATGGTCACATCACCCAACCACGTGGATGCAGTGCTGCTTTTAGGCTGTACCACTGATGAAGAGCACAGCTTTGTCCTTTGTACAGACTTGGGCTCCACATGCTTGAGGTGTAACCTCAGCCAAGTTACTAACACCCCTGTGCCTCAGGTTCCTCATTTGTTAAATGGAATATTACAAGTTCCTACTTAATAGGATCATTGGGACATTTAAATTAAATAATACGTGAAATGCTAAGCATTATGATCTGGCATGTAGTGAACCCTTAGTGTGTGTCATCTGTCATTGCAGATACTGCTTTTATCCTACAAAAGGAAGTAATGGTAGTTGTTTAGCCAAATATGATGATGGATATTAGAGTGCTCATTCCATGTCTTGAAAATTAAGTCTGCCCCAGCAGAGGTACAGAGACACTGAGAATGAATTCCTCTTTGTGAAGCTCTGGGGTAGAGGAGGAAGGAAAGTGGTTGATGAACTGTCATAAAATTTACATTTGCCCGCATAATTAAGAGGAACAAGAGATAAATCCTACATCTGATATGAGTTTAGCAATCTCTGTGCTCCGACAAATGAAGGTCCTACTGGCCTGCAGGAGCAGGAGATCCCTCCCCGCTGGAGGGCAGTGGTTAATCCTGATAGTAAAAGCTCTGCTCTGTCCTGGGCACCATCCAAGGAAGATGAACTCCTAACTACAGTTATATTTCTGGAAGATCCTTGCTGGAGGCAAGATCCTCGGGGCCCCTTGCACCTAAATTATAAATATACAAACTCAACCCCACAGCAGAGCACTAGAAAACTAAATGCAGATGAAGAGTGAGCTAGCCACTTCTGCCTCAAATGTCTACACCATCCCAGACATCTCTGCCTTGCCCTGATTCTACATCAAGCTCAAAACAGACCTTTCTGCTTATGGAACAGCCTTAATAATCCTTTTAGGCCCTTATGTCTTAGGGTCCCCCAGGAGCAAAGTAATTGTTAGCAATTTGAGATCTCAGTAAGTAACCTCAAAAACAAATCCTCTGTACCTGCAATGTCTTTGATCATCCAGCTACCTAAAATCTTCCTGAGCGTTTCCACTTAAATCAGTTTTTTCCCAATATTTAGGCAATGTAATTGATATTTATTTTTACTTATTTTTATCTAAAAAGGAAATTTCATATTCCTATATGGTGAAATATTGAAAACTTTTGGTCAAAATATAATGATACAGACACAAGGCATGTTAGGATAGGGTGTGTCTGTATTTATTTTAAATATAAAAGAAAATTTTAATTTTGCTTTCTTGAGAAATATACAATGTGACCTAATATATGAACCAATTTTAAATATTACATAAAAATAAGAAAAGACTTGAGAGAAATGGCTGCTCTTACTCTTTTTTTTTTTTAACTTGGTGTTCAGTCCTTTGGTACAACCCCAGTAAAAACTGGTATTGACCAATGTTGCTTTTTCTGTGATGAACACTTATGAGAATATAGTTTTCATGCCTCTGCTGCTATGCCCCCTATTATAGAGCTCGGAATGCCTTTGGGAAGGAAATTGCAGTACTTGTCCCTGAGCTAGGCGGAGAATGGTGCTTGTACTTACTGTGTAAGCCTTATGAAAGCTCTGGAAGCTGACTTCCTTCCTTGCCTAAGAGAACTGGGGTCCAAAACTACCCACAGGCATGTTTCACGGGTTCTAGAAAGCGTGGGCTGCATTGCAATAAGTAACCAGGTTTCCTTTTCCAGATGACCTTCCGTCAGTGCCCGTGTTTGACAGAACACTGCCAGTGAAGCAGATGCATGTGCTGGAGACTCTGGACCTTCTGGTTCTCAGAGCAGACAAAGGTGGTACCCCTGCCAGGTGGCATGCTCTAAAAGAAGGAAAACAGGCGCCTTCTGTGGCCCACACCATTGGTCATCCGGTCTGACCCATAGGGCATGCCAGCTGTTTCTTTTTCTTTTCGTGATGCCCAGTGTTTGGGGTCCCTTGGTTCTCTCAGAGGGAACCAGTGGCAGCAGGGTGGTGGGGAGAATGCACCAGTGGCAGCAGGGTAGTGGGGAGGATGCACCAGTGGCAGCAGGGTGGTGGGGAGGATGCACCAGTGGCAGCAGGAGGGTCGGGAGGATGCACCAGTGGCAGCAGGGGGGTGGGAGGATGCACCAGTGGCAGCAGGGTAGTGGGGAGGATACACCAGTGGCAGCAGGGTAGTGGGGAGGATGCACCAGTGGCAGCAGGGTAGTGGGGAGGATGCACCAGTGGCAGCAGGGGGGTGGGGAGGATGCATATCCATCCGTAATTGCGTTGTTAAATAAAAGTGGTGTAGGTGTCTCCCGAATTCTGGGACACAGCCAACCCTAGTTTCTTACACAGTCTGCCCTTGGAACTCTTCCAGGTCGTTTTACTTTTCCATTTAATCCCCTCCTCCTTGTTTATGTCACCAGGAAAAGATGCCCGCCTCTTTGTCTTCAGGTTGAGTGCTCTGCAAAAGGGCCTGGAGGGGAAACAGGCTGGGAAGAGCAGATCTGACTGCAGAGAAAACAAGCTGGAGAAAACAAAAGGTGACTTGAGTCATCGTATGTTGCCGGATTCCATTCAATTATTATTTTTTCTCAGACTGCCTAGGTTTTACTGAAAATAAAAATGAGTGGGAATTTGATCTTATTGGTTTATTTTTTGCTTGGAAACATCACAAAGATAGCATCATAGTTTCTATAAGGAACTTGAAAGATAGAAAAACATGTTGAGGACTAGAAGAAATTCTAGACCTTTCATAACAGGTTTTAGAGGTAAGTTAAGCTCCATTAGCAAATCTGTGAGTAAAGAAATGTTTAGACTTTGGTTCCTAGAGCTCCAATCACCCTTTACTTTAATTCACATTATGTAGTAGATATGAAGTTAAGTCCACAACCTCTAGAATATAGGGAAAATGACTTTCTTCATTTTCTTGTGACTTAACCTGATTTTTATGTCAAGTCTCCATTCTGCCTGGTGGCAGAAACATTTTTAGTCCATTCACTGCATTATGCTTAATTTCTCCCTGGAAACTTGCCCAAGTGTCAAGGAGAGGGGCTTCCCAACTCGCTTGTCACATATGGAGCATCATTGCTTTCTCATCCCAGGCTGCCACCTGTATGCGATTAACACTCACCACAGCAGAGAGCTGAGGGTTGTGGTCGCAATTCGGAATAAACTGCTTCTGATCACAAGGAAACACAAGCCAAGTGGAGGAACCAGCATCTCGTTGTTGTCTCCCGTGTCGGAGTCACCTGTTGAAGAATTCCAGTACATCAGGGTAGGTTTTCTCTTCAAATCACTTACCTCCCAGCCAATGTGTCATGAGGCAGACTCTCTCCTTCCACCCAGAGTTTGTCATCTGAGGTTGTCCCACCATTCAGTAACCCCTAGGGACACCCTCCCCTCCAGGACCCTGGTTTCCTCCAGAAGACTAAGGCAAAAGCTCATTCATTCCAATGAGCACCTATAGGTGCTGTTCTAAGTATGAAGGACACAGCGGTAAACAAAACAAATTCTTCTCATGGAGATTGCTTTCTAGCTGAAGAATAACAGAATAAGCAGATAAATCTATGATGGTTGGCAGAAAGTACTGAGAATAAAAATAAAGTAGGGCCAGGGAACAGAGGATAATGTAACAGGGAGTTGGGAGATATGTTGTAGAAGGGATGTTCCGGGAGGCCCTCTCTGAATGGTTACCTTTGAGCAGAGACCCAGAAAGTATGGGAGTGAGTGATGAGGGTGTCTGGGGAAAAGACATTCCAGCAGGAGCTACCAGGCAAGAGCCCTGAGGCCCCGAGAAGGAGCTGTCAGGAAGGTCAGAGAGAACTGGGACCAGATTCTCATGAACCCAGAGGCCATTGCAAGCACTTTGGCTTTGACTCTGAGGTGGGAAAGGACTAGAAGATTTGGAGCAGAGATGTACCATGTTTTGAAAAGACTGCTCTGGTTACCAGGCAGAGGAGAGTGCAGGGACCAAGGGTAGAGATAGGAGGCTGCTGAGAGGCCTGTACAGGATCCTGGCAAGAGGTGATGGTGGCTTCAATGGCTGGGAGGAAGTGATGGGGCAGCACTGCCCTGCTTGCCTCGGTCAGCATGGGCTGCAGGTAGATTGGGGGGTCTTGTGAGCAAGGCCTCCAGGTTAAGTTCCCACCACAGACTGTTGTTAAGGTGCAGGATATGTCAAACATCAGCCACTAAGATGGAGTTTTTCTGTTGGTGAGCTGAGAAACCACTTTTGCCTACAGTCAAAGCCTCCTGGATTATGCATATCCATTTCTGATAATATTCAACTTAAGGGGACAGAGCAGCATGCCAATTAAGTTAATGCAATTAAAAAATCTTGCTCTAATTAGGTGGTAGCCTTCTTCATATAGTGATTAGCAATTTTAATGAATATATTTAGATGTAGCATATACAGTTATGTAGTATGAGCTCTGAAATCAGATTTCCTGAGTGCAAATCTTGGCTCTACCGTTTATAAACTTTGTGACTGTAGGCAAGTCACTTGACCTTGAGCCTCAGTTTCCTCAAAACAATAGCCACACCTACTTCATGAGGTGGTTACGAGGATTCAATGAGAACCATGCCTGGTATGTGTTAAATGCTCAACAAGATTAGTTAGTAATTGTTAGTACTATTACTAAGTTCCAGGATAGGACCCAACAATGTGAAGGCTAAAGTAGACCATAGCGTTGTATCTGTTTTATAAAATTGTTTCCTGGCCTCTACCTGTTCCTGTGAACAGAGGCCTGAGTCCTGAGGACAGGTTATGGGAGAGAGGAGTCTGATGTGACCCCTATCACCTCCTCTCGGGCCTTTTCTTTCCCTGCAGTATGGGGCCCTGCAGGAACCTGTGGGGAGGGGGCCTCTTCTGAAGGTGGGGTGGGTTAACATGAAGCTGACTGCTTTGCACTAACCAGTCTCCTACATCATCATCAACCGCACAGGAGATCTGTCTGTCCGACTCCCCTGCCGTGATGACCTTAGTGGATGGGCCAACCGAGGAGAGTGACAACCTCATCTGTGTGGCTTATCGACACCAATTCGACATGGTGAACGAGAGCACAGGAGAGGCCTTCAGGCTGCACCACGTGGAGGCCAACAGGGTAAGCTGATGGTTGTGGGGACAAGTGGGAATCAGAGAAGATTAATCATTGCATCTTCTAACTTTGGGATGCCATGATTCAGATTTCTTTAAAAGTATATACTTTTCATCATATCATTATTATGTGATACACTATTCAGGCTGAACCATGTGAAGTTGCCATCTTTGTACATCACAGTGGTTCTAATATCATGTGACCATCCCATTGCCCTATTCAGCTTTCAGATCTCACCCTGTCACTCCATTCTTTCAAATAAAGGAGACTTGAAGAGTCAAAAATCCAACTATAAATAACCAAATAGATGAGAGCATTTGTTAGGTGACTGGTACTGGGAGGGCGTTTGGAGAGAAAGCTTCCTCTCTGAAGCCCTGCAGACTCTCAGCGTGGGGACTAGGTGGCTAGGTGGGTCCAGCACCCTTCTCTATCCCCTTGGAGGCCCGGTAGACAGGAGGAAGGGCCGGAACCCCATTAAGGGAGAGAGGGAGAGAGGATCAGCACTGAGGGTCTACACCCCTGGCCTGAGCTGCACAGAAAACAAGGATGTCCTGGTTTGGGACAAAATCTAGTGCCTCCCAAAAATGCACTGAAGCCCTAAAGATGACTGTGTAGAGTCTGAACCTAGAGCCCACTGGAAGCTGGTGAGCATGTACCACCCTGAGGCCTGATGACCTGTCGCTGGAGCCGCTCTGTTCGATGCCTGACATTAGCAGATCACAGAGGTCTTCAGTCCCTTTATCTCTGTAAAGCAGGGCAGGGCCTTGGTCTCAATGAGGTGCTCAGTGTTTGCAAAGCACAGTGCCAACAGCCTGCTGGCTCTGGTACTAAGGACACTGCAGAATGGGGACATCACCCCCCTCCCTCCAGGAGAATGTACTTCCTAATGAGGACTTCCCACAGGCTTCCCCCAGTCCTGTTCAGCTAAATCAAAGACACTATGGTGTTCCTTAAATTCATTCATTAAAATTGCTAACTACTATTTTAGAAAGACTTAGTACCTAATTAGAGCAAGATTTTAAGAAACAGAAAAATCAGAAATAGAAAAATCTAGATGTAACTAGGAGGCCGCCTTGTCTTCTGCTGTTATTGATCACAGAGTAGTCTGTCATTTATTTATATTGGTGGTCCCCAAACTTATCTACAATTGGAGTTACTAGAGGAGTTTCAAAGGTGCCAGGGCCTGCGTCCTTCCCCCCAGAGATTTCACAAGTCTGGGATGAGGTGTGCATGGGAATGTTTAAATGACCCCAGTGATTCCAATGTTCAGCCAAATTGGGAACCCTGGTGTACTGCCTTGCTGCCCAGCCCTGGCTAGAATCACCTGGAGAGCTTTAAAAAGAGCAGTGTTCTGACCCCATGCCGGATCAATTAAATCAGAATTCAGGGGATATGGTACTTGAGAACCAACATTGTTTAAGTCTCCCCCCAGGTGATCCCAGTGTAGACTTGGGAGGCATCTGTCCTGAAACTCTTCCTACTTAAAGCTGGAGGAATGCCCGCCACACCCACCCCCGCCCCCGCCCCCGCCCCCGCCCCCGCCAGCTGCAGGTCAGCTGTCTGGGCTTCTTGCCTGGATCTGGAACCTCTTCCAGCCTGCTAGCTTCTGAGGGCAGGGGCCCAGTCTGTCCTTCAACAGTTCTCATTCTTTCTTGCTTCTCAGCGGTCTCTGTGTGTGCAGCCAGAGACGGAACAGTCACAGCTGAGCAGGTCTTTGTCCCCTCAGTCCTTACCTTAGAAACTAGTTCCCTAAGACCTGCTTTTTCTAGTGGAAAAGTGCTCACCTTGTTTCAGAGAAACTTTCTGACACGATCTGGTTTAAAGCAAATCATGCTTAAGTGGCTGAAAATTATGCAATTAACTTATTCATGAGGGTAGCTATAGAGAAAATTATTTTATTAAATTTCTTTCATGTGGTGGTTATTATTAATATCCTAATAATTTATTGGAATGTTTATTTTATTCCTGTGATTAGTAAAGACCCAGGAAAAATTGGGTTAAAAACTATTTTTTTAGATGACTTATGTGTTTTATTTGTTTTTTGGATGGCTATGAGGAATGATTCTCAAGCTTTTTGCCTTTTCTTCAATGTGCTTTTTTAAAAACAAAGATACAAAGCTTTTCCCTAAGAGAAAAGAAATTGTTTTAAAAGGGAAAAAAGAAACAAGAAGCCATTTCCTGCACCCTGGCTCTGAGAGGATCCGTGTGCACAGCCCCTCCTCCCGTCAGTTGGCCGAGGGATCTGCTGAGCAGGGACAAACCTTAATCAGACACACTCATCTTTGGGAGGAATTTACTGTCTAACTGGGGAGAAAAGCCCTAAGGATATGAGACAGGTAATGAGCAATGTGTTTTCTAATAGCTAGTCAAAAACAGGCCCTGTGGGAACAGGACTAGCTTTTTACCAAAATGCTCCTGCAGCTGGTCACCTAGTGCACTGGGGGCAGGAGAGGAAGGTGGACCCAGCCTTAAGTGAACTTTTGTTCACGTTGCACTGGCTGCCACCTGCTCTCTATAGGCGCCAGAGTCGATGGGCTGTCCCTGCTTCCTGTTCCCACCCCTCTCCCCCCACAGAACCATCTGATTCCCAGTTCAGACTTCCACCCCACCCCAGGTTCTAAGACAGTCTTGGCTCAAAAGAGAAAATGTTTAAGAAGCACTAAAGCACTGGAAGTCAACATCAAGTTCCCTTTATGGGCAGCTCTGCAGTGACCTACTGCCCCAGCTCTAACTCTAACATATTGGCCTCTTTCCCAAAACCAAGGGCTCCTCTCGAAGGAACTGCAGACATGGTCTTAGTATCTGAGTCTCTGGCTCATTCACTGGGACCAGGTCCTGTCTTGACTGTCTGCCCAGAACCTGACGGTTCTCAGCAGGGGGCTTAGCCTGGGGTCACTTGGGAAGGCTGAATGTAGAACCAGCAGTAGCTTCCTCTCTCAGCTGGGGCTGGAGCAGGGGCAAGAGATGGGACAGGGCTGGTACATACCTCACTTGTTACAAGTTTCCATTAATAATTTTTACAGCCATGCTGTTACTTCTATCATTTTTAAATGCCAATAAAATGAACTGCTTATCTTTAATTAAAAAATAAAAATCTGACACCTGTGTCCTACCCCAGACCTGTCATATCAGAACCTCTAGAAGTGAGAACCCAGAATATGTGTTTTTATAAGCCCCCTAGTTGATTCTGATGTCGTCACCTGGTTAGGAAACAGTGCTGCAGAGTCTGACTCCAGCCAGGACCCTCTCCCAGGGAGGAGACAGGCACCCACATGAAAGCCTGAAACAGGTCTCCCTGCCGAGTGGTAACAGGCGTCTGAACATGGTGCTGTGGAGTGTCCGGGAAGAGTGGTTAAGTCCAGTCTGGTCTTCGGTCCCTGAATCCTGGCCCTTGGGCCAGAGCTGCCTCTGCCTGACTGTGAATACTGCCACTTCGTGTGCCTGCAGCACAGTCCTGAAACCCCCAGTAGACTGACTTGATGCCAGGTACTGCTCCAGTGTCACTGCACAGACTGGTCTAGAAGGCTGCCTGAACTTCCTCCATGCTTGTCACCACCACATATGTCTCCGACCCCACCCCAAACACACACAGGCCTTATCACTGAACCAAAGGGCTGCCTTTCTCACTGTAGTTAACCCTCCCATAATTATAATGAGCATAACCACTAGGCCTTGTGTCAGAGCATGTCATAAGCATTGCATCTCAGAATAATCCCAATAATCTATGAGGGAGGTATGCTTCATTTCTCCAATTTTACATAAAAGGAAACTGAGACTCAGGAAGGAAGAGTCACTTATTTTACTCCAGACCACACAGCTAGTCAGTGGCAGAAGCAGGACTTGGGCCCCAGCTGGCTGGCTCCAGAACCCATGCCCTTAAACCCAGCACACTGTTGCATCCACAGCCAGCGAGGGTGACAGGCCAGGCCACAGAGTGGGTAGCCCTCGGCTCCTCTCCTCGGGAAGCTCACAGACTGGCAGAGCAGACACATGTGTCCTGCTGCAGCATGAAGCCTCTGGCTGAGACAGTGAAACAAACTGACCCGGACTTGGGCACAGAGGAGGAGGTGATTCTGAGCCAAGGGATGGAGCCAGGAAGGGGCCTTGCAGGGGTCAGAGAGGACTCGAAGACTGTCCCACATATTACATGCCCATTGGTGCTGGCTCCATGGCTAAGTAATAATGTCAGCTAACACTTACTGAGCATTTAGCAAGTTCCATGCCCCATAAATGTAGTTACTCTCATCTCCAGTCTTACAAATGAAGAAACTGAGATTCTGAGAGGGGAATAGGTGGCTTATGTGTGCACACTCTGAAGTGATGGAGCTGGGATTTTGTTAATTCAGTCATTCATCTGGTGTGTTTATTTTGCCCCTGCTGCCTGCCAGGCCCTGATCTGGCACTGAGGAGATGGCACTGAATGGCACACACAGGCTGCATGTCACAAGCCTTGTGGTTTAGTGGGGAGGGAGCTGCAGAGAACAGATAGACAAGTGCGCACAGGCATGGTGCAGGCTATACAGAGACCCTCATGCATGAGGCCATGAGCCAGGACAAGTCTTTCTGATCCCAGAGCCGGAGCTTGTGGCCACTGGTCCTTGCTTTCCCACTCCCTCCAGAGCTCTCACAACTCTTGACTGTGGCATTTGCCCCATTACACCTTGTTTTAGGTACTTGCATCCTTTTCTGATTTTTTTTGAGGGGTGGAACCTTACCTTATCCTTTTCTGCATCCTAACAGCACCTAGTACAGTGCCAGATTGTGACAGATGGGAGGGGCGGGGGTTCCCTCGGAAGGGCCATGGGGGCCCAGGCAGCAGACCTGGATGAAGGTGCCCAGTTGGAGACTTAGCACAGTGAGGAGAACGTTTAGAGGCAAAGGCACATTCTGGGAAGAAGAGACAGGGCCTGAGGGAGGAGCACAGGGTGGACCTGGGGCAGGGCTGGGAGAGGCGAGCCAGCAGGAGGCCCTGGCTCGGTGTCCTGGGAGTACATAAAGGACACCCAAAAGACCCTGTGAGGAGGAGGATGCTGGACTTGGGAGAGAGTACAGAGCCCCTGAGACTTTGGGATAGTTTAGAAAGGAGAAGGTTTAAAAGTGAAAATAGCTTTCACTAAGTGCTTGTTATATGCCAGGCCCAGCCTAAAATCTCTGCCTTATCTCATTACTGTGCTGCAAGGGCAACACTGTCATTATGCCAGCTTCTCAAGGACTGAGGGCCAGAGGCTAAGCATTTGCCACGCACTATGGAGGCCGAGAGCAGCTCAGGCAGGGCTTGACCTTGGTTCTGTGTGCCCAGCCTGACTGCCTCCTGCTGTCAGTGACAGGATGTAGAATGATGCCATCTCGGGGAACAAGAGGTGCAGATTACGGGCTGGAGCTCTGGGGAGAATACGGGTCTGGGCTTGTAGATTTGGGGATTTTGAGCACAAAGCAAAATTTGGAGCTATTAAAGTAGGTATTTTTCTAGTGAGAAAAGAGCCAAGATATGAAAGACTAATCTGAGGGAGAGGAGGACAGGAGGTAGGGGACCTCACCTGGCAGAGACCGTGGGGCAGGCAGAGAGCTGACCACTTAGGGCCTCCAGCAAGGCGAAGGTGGCTTCTCCGGATGCTTGGGAGACTTTCAGGGCTGGGATACATGTAAGGAATTGGAAAGAGCAGGAGGTTCTAGAGTAGGGGTCCTCAAACTTTTTAAACAGGGGGCCAGTTCACTGTCTCTCGGGCCAGTTAACTGTCCCTCAGACCATTGGAGAGTGCGCACTGTGGGCCCAGGATGAGTCAGCTGCTAAGCAGGACAGGCAGCAACAGCAAAAACACCCGGCGTGCTGGATAAACGTCCTCGGCGGGTTGCATGTGGCCCACGGGCCATAGTTTGAGGACGCCTGCTCTAGAGGGTCGGGGTTTTGAAAATCAGGAATGATCGAGGATGCCATCAGGTCAAGTGCCCTCTTCCCAGACATAAAACTGAGATCCTGAGAGGTCACAGAGATAGCTAGGCCTCCGACCCCCTTCTCATCGTGCGTGCTGCCTTTAAATGCAGGACAGAGAAAGAGCAGAAGTGGGGACATGCCATGCTGATTTTAAGGTTCAGAGACTTGACTAGCTGGAGGCCTGAGGGGGCTATGGTAAGAAGAGAAGAGCACCACAGTTCAGATCGCAGCTGTGCTGCTCACCAGCTGAGGGGCTTCTCTGGGCCTCAATTTCATCATTTGTAAAATGGGAATAATATTGTCTCCATTCTGGAGTTAGTGTGAGAGTGAAATGAATAACCCACGTGAAGGTGCCTTGGGAACTGGAGCACACCATGTAAACCTGAGGTATTTTAATAGAGCGTAGAGGTGATGGATATGGAGCCTCTCAGAAAGTATGAAAAGACAGAGAGAAAGTCCCAGTGGAGAAAGAAAAGAGAGATTTTCTTTCTTTCATACCTATGGTGTGTTGTAATCATGGCCCCTGATATGGCTTTATGGGTGCTGGTGAGGTAGACGTGACCCCACGCCCCTGCGATTGTGGAGCGCCAGGGGCCGCTGCACATGCTCACAACTTGTCATCCAGCCTGTGCACTACCATTGCCCGTTACCATTGCAGGTTAATTTTGTTGCAGCTATTGATGTGTACGAAGATGGAGAAGCTGGTCTGCTACTGTGTTACAACTGTAAGTTAAGTTTGTGTTTTTATTTTTATTTGCTAAAATAAACTATTCTTTTTCTGGGTAATTTAAAGGGACCCGGTAAATCATTCCTGGGTTCATAATTGCACTTCAGCGAGCATCTAAAAAATGCCTCCCTACTTGGATCGCCCACTACACCCCAGACCTCTTGGCAACACAGCACAAGAGCTGCTACCTGTGCCGCTATCTCCCGGATGCTACAGTGATGACAGCAGCTTCCCATTAGGGGTCCTTACCATGTGCCACGTGCTGTGCTTGGTGTGTCTCATTTAATTCTCATGGATGCCTGCAGCAGGCTCTGTTATTAAACTCGGTTTAGAGATAAGGCAGCCGAGGCCTAGAGAGGTGAACTCCCTCAAGGTCCACAGCTACTAAGCAGCATGACAGTGTTTGCATATGATACTCTCTTGACTCCAGCACCCACAAATTTAACCACTGTTACTGTTCTCCCTCCTGTTATTTCTCATGAAATCAGCCTCAGCCTGGCATATCAGCCCCAGTTGTGCTAGTTTGGGCTAGGTGGCAGGGAAGGTTGAGCAGACCAAAAGTGTCGAATGGGGTCTTTAAGGATTTTCAGCATTTCAAAAGCTAATATTACACTTCAATAAAAAGGACTTTTTTAAGTCTAAAAGATGTAAGATATTTTCCTGGATAAGGCTGCCCAGTCTAAGACATAAAACATATTTTTTAGCCTAGAATTTTACTAATTTAGAGTGGTGATACTGGACCAGATATGTTGATTAATCTTTGATTAATAAATACAGGAAAGCTAATTATCAGTAGAGAAATTTGTTTGGTAAACATCATCTTTCAAAATTCAAGATTAATGGGGAGCCTCTTTGACAATAAGTTGCACTCTTTGGGGATATTTTACTCACAGAGCCGGCTAAGCCCTCCTTAGAACAATGGGTCTGTAATAGCCACGTGACAAGAAGGACCCACCTCTTGGCAGGCAGGAACAGGCCACTGCTGCTGCTGCTATCTACTATCCCCAAGTTTACAGGGACAGGGGAAGGAGGCTACATGTGGAAGTCATCTCGATAAGATTTTCATCTCTTTCAAGTATGGTCGTTTTACTTCATTGAAAAATCTATGAGAAAAACTTGTGGCAGAATGTTTTAAAAACTGAATTTTTTTTTTCTGTCTTTAACTGCTTGAAGGGATGGGAAAGCTTGTAGGTGGGAGAGAAGTTAAGAACAGAAAGATTGAGCCGGTTTTTAGAAGAGGAGAATCCATCCCAAACACAAAGGGAGATGACAAATGCGGATGCCATTGGCTGTATACCAAACTTGCAGTGTGCTGACTTGAACAAGCCGCGTTGCTCACTCGTCCCTGATGCACCAGATAGGGTTCCAGCAGCCTCTGGGGGCTCATGGGGCCCTTCTGTAGGAGTCCGCTTCCCATGGCTTTGCTCAGGCCCTGGCTTTAGGCTCTGATTCCATCTGGATTGGTGTGTGTCTATTTTCCTAGATACACTGCATCAGAAGATAATCTCAGTATCTTTAAATCCCAAGGTCAAGGCCTTGGCAGTCTCAGAGATTCCTAGAGCCTCAGTCCTCCCAAACCATGCCACTTCCTCCTCCCTTTTCTTTGGGTCAGGGATCTGGCTTTGGTTCACCTTCCTTTTTCCCAGCAGGTTGGCAGCTACCTGGTGAACAACCCCAGGAGAAGCAGTGGCCTCTCCTCACAGTCACCCAGACACATGTATAACTCTTTCCCCCTCACACATACCACACACGGCATCTGCTTATTATCTCCCGTGTTCTTGTCTAGGGCACAGACACCTGCATAGTAAAGGCCCTTTCAGCAGGTGCTGTGGAAAAACTTGAGCTGATATTTATCATTGAATTCAGTTTCTTTTTATTAAAAAAGAAAACAAAATTTAAAATAACTTTATAAACTCAGAGTTTTGTATAGGAGAAATTTTTATGTCAGATATGATAAAGGTGAACATATTTTATAATGGAGATTGTAATTTCCAGCTACATGTTATTTGAGAAAAATACATTCACGAGATAAACTTCAGAGGAAAAAATAGTGTACAGAGTTCAACATGTTGGTATTTTTAAAAAATTTAATCTCTATTTTAAATACCAGAATAAGTCATTAACTGCTTTAAAAAAGAAAGAAAAGCAAACTTGGCTGTGACCTCAGCATCCAGTGCTCATTCACCTTTAATGCAAATAATATATTTCAGTGCTAAGGGCGAACTCTTCTGTTTGCTGATAATGCTTTAACCACTTCTGGACCAGCGTCAACTGTAGTTGACAGCCACAGATGAATGCGCACAGCCCAGCGTCGACTATAGTCGACAGCCACAGATGAACGTGCACTTCGACTTTAGTGAACAGCCGTGATATGACTTTTCTAATTTTTTAATTATCAAAATAAAATCGTGAACATTTAAAAATAACATAATGAAAACATATATGTATATGTTACCTATTCTGATATTTACATTACAAGTAAAGCTGCCTGTAAAGTAAAACAAGCTTTCGGTGCTTTAAAGCTTTCCTTATTACACAAGAGCAAAACGGATTTGTCGTCAATGCACAGCAGTGAGCAAGGTTTCGTGGCCGGTGAGCGAGGTACCGAAGTGGTTAAAGATAATCACACGAGGAAAACTAGAAAAGCTCACATAAGTACCCCTTGGTTTTGATTTGATCATATTTAACCTACTAAGAATTAACTTCCAGGTGAGTATTATTAAGAGTACAAAACCTGTTTCTCATGACTGTTGTGAAAATTAAAGAGGAGTGCTAGGCACTAGTTCTTGCCCCAGTGAGCTTACAGTCTTACAATTAGTATAAAGAATTTATTAGTTACAATAGTGATAAGAATTACAAAGCAGAACCAGGCATGGTGCCTTACACCTGTAATCCTAGCACTTTGGGAGGCCAAGGCAAGAAGATCGCTTGAGCCCAGGAATTCAAGAACAGCCTGGGCAATAGTAAGACCCTGTGTCTATGAAAAATAAAAAATAAAAATAACTAGCCAGGTGTGGTGGCGCTTGCTTATAGTCCTAGCTGCTCAGGAGGCTGAGATAGGAGGATTGTTTGAGCCCAGGAGTTCAAGACCAACCTGGGCAACATAGTGAGAGCCCTTCTGTATAAAAATAAATAAATACCTGTAAAGCCCAAAACACTCTGCCTGGCACAGCAAGGTTTTGTTTTTCCTCCTTTTATTCCAGAATCATCAGTATTAATGCTGAACCCAGTTTTTAAACCTCCACAGACTTTTTTACATGCAGGAAGGGATTTTTCTTCAGAGAAATTTAGTTTAAAAATAGAAATGGTAATTTTCCCCCTTGTTCTCCACCAGCTGGATGGAGAAAATGAAAGGAGTGATGGACAACTGTGAGCTCCTTCCTGTACAGCAACTTTCTTAAAATTCTCCCCTCAACCCAGCACCCCCATTCAGACTGTCCTTTTTAACCATAGTAGGGGACCTTCTCTGTGCCATGCATGCCTTAGGCTCTAGGGACACAGTGGTGGGGGGCACGGAGAGGGACTGCAGAGAGCTCACGGTCTGGGGGAGAGCCAGGCAGGGACACCAGCTCATTGAGCGTGAACATGCTTCACAGCTCGGGAATTCAAGAAGCATGCATCACTGACTTTTCTACATCCATTAAGTCTAATCCTTGGGGCTAGACTCAGTTGCTCACACCTGTAATTTTAGCACTCTGGGAGGCCAAGCAGGAGGATCATTTGAGCTCAGGAGTTCAAGACCAGCCTGAGCAAGAGTGAGACCCTATCTCTACTAAAAATAGAAATAAATTAATTGGCCAACTAAAAATATATAGAAAAAAATTAGCGGGCATGTGGTGCATGCCTGTAGTCCCAGCACCAGGAGGCTGAGGCAGGAGGATCACTTGAGCCCAGGAGTTTGAGTTTGCTGTGAGCTAGGCTGACAACACAGCACTCTAGCCCAGGCAACAGAGTGAGACTCTGTTTCAAAAAAAAAAAAAAAAAATCTAGTCCTTGGCCTCTCATCAGATGCAGAGACCAATGTTAGTTATTGGGAAGAAGAACCCTCTGCTTCTCTAGGATCCCACTGGAGTTCTTGGGGCTTACTCAGTTAGAAAGCATAGGAGCAGGGCCCTGAACTGTAGTCTGGGCTACCTCTGAAACACCTCACCTGCGTGACCCACCTGTAGGGGGTGCAGCCCCTGAGCCGAGCTGAGGCTGGGCATGGACACCCTAGGCACAAACACAGCCATCTGCCGCCCATCCATGATGCTCTGCTCTGGGGCAGATCTCCTCCTGCTCAGACCCACCAGCCCTAGCCCACCAGCAGTTTCTCTCACTTGATGGGAGTTGGGGTGGGACGGGGTAATGACGAGATGTGTGTCAGGACCTTTCAAAACATGATACTGCCCTCCCCTTCCTAAATGGGATGGGGAAAGAAGGTATCCATTCATTCAACAGATACTTACTGAGCACCTACGTGCTTAGGGGTTTCAGCAGTGAATGAAATATACACAAGTCCCTGCCCTCAGGGAGTTTACACCAAGGGGCAGCTTGGACAAATAACAGGATAAATAAGAAAAATATCTAATATGTTGAATGGTGATAAGTGCTGAGGGGAAACAAAATGGAAAAGGGATAAGGTTGGCAGGAGTAGGGAGTGTGGGTTACGCTTTAGGTAAGGCAGAAAGAAAGATGTCTACTCTCCATGGGTTCAGGATTCTGGACAAAGACAACAGCCAGGGTAAAGACCTTGTGGCAGGAACATACTGGCCTAGGCCAGATGACCCTGAGGTGACCAGGGAAACTGCAGCAGAGTGAACAAGGGTGGTAAAAAGAGGGCCAGTCTTGGGGTGGACAAAAGCCTTTGGTGTGCTGTGGAGGATTTTAGCAGAGAGGCGACATGAGCTAACTTGGGTTTAAGAGGAGGCCCCCAGCTGCCATGTGGAGAATTCACTGAAGGGGTTAAGGGCAGGGAGGCAACTGTGCTCATGTGATGAGCGAGGACAGTGGCCTTGA